CCACAAATATGATGGAACCACAAATATGATGGAACCACAAATATGATGGAACCACAAATATGATGGAACCACTTATAGATCAAAGCTTAAATCTTACCTTCATCAGAACCACGCAGTTATAAATTTAAAAAAAATCGTTTTTTTCATACGAAACAACTTTTTAAAGAAATGAATATTTTAAATGTATATCAACTAAATGTCTTTAATATTTTATGTTTTATGTTTAAATGTTGAGAAAATTTGTTGCCAGATGTGTTACAAAATCTTTATTGCATGAAACCTAAAAACAAATACAATCTTCGAATTAATAACAATCTTATTCCCCCTTTTAGCCGTAAAAGCAAAGACCAGTTTTTTGTTTCTTATCGAGGTCCTTTTCTCTGGAACAAAATAGTCTTACCAAATTTTGATTTTTCTACTCAACTGACTTGCAGTTTTAGCAGTGATTAAAAAGGAACTTAGAATTAGAAAAGATAAATATAGCATTTTTACAATTGTTCTACATTGCTAATAAGCCCGTTCATCAAAAATTTTGCAAAATAGTTTTAAGATATTTTTTGCAATATTCATGTGATTCATAACACTTTTTATTTAATTTTGAATATATGGTAGTAGTTACCAATTTAATAACATATAGGTTAGAGAAGAGCGGAGATATTTTATAATAAAACACAAATTTTTTTTTCAATATTTAGCTTTAGCAACATTTTAAGCTTAGTTAGTTTAAAATACCAAACAAAACAAAAATATAGCAATCTAAATTCTAGCAATGATCATCTGTATCATATAAAAAATAAATTTTGCTTTTAAGTTTAAAAGGCCATACTCTTAATAAGTTATAAAAATATATATTTAGCTTTTCAGTTATAAAAAAATTTTAATTCAATATTAAAAAGTCCCCTCATATTAACTTTAAAATTTACATTACTTATGGGTTAAAATCAAAAACGTCTTAAAATGAAAGTTAAAAAAGAAACTAAAATTTTGTTTATCATTTATACAGTATTGGACAAAACATTTGCAACCAACATCGAACAATGCTAAAAAGTGTTCCTAATTTTACATGTCTTAAAAACGAAACGAACTATACTACCACAGCAAACAGTTCAGGAGTCCGGAGTCATAGCATGCCATGAATTGAACAATCAGCTGACAAGTGACAGCACACAGGCAGAATTTTGTTGACAAGTGCCATTTTGCATCGGACAAAACAAGTGCGACTTTTTTGGTTTGTTTCATTTTATTAAGTCTGGTCCGCGTCAACGTCACGGAAGTTTTTAGTAACTAAAGGAAGTATCTAGAAGTTTCCAGAATTTTCCAGAAGCATGCAGAAGCTTCCAGAAGTTTCTAAAAGAAGCATCTGGAAGCATCCAGAAGCATCCAGAAACATTCAGAAGCATCCAGACGCATCCAGAAGCTTCCAGAAGCATCAAAAAGAAGCATCTAAAATCTTCCAGAACAGGTTCACACAGGTTCATTTTACTATATAAGAGACATGTAAACCGACATGTAATTCAGTCAGTATATGGAAGTCAATCAGTCAGCATTATCAAGACAGTTTATCGAAGTGAGTTTTATCAAAGAACATCAATACAAGAAGTGAAAAACAACAAGTGTTTTATTACATCAATACAGTCCATATCCAACCAAGACGTTGTGACCACAGAGCATTATTGTATCATCACAAGGTAAATGTAACACGGTAAGCTTTGAAAAGCGTGATTATTTATTTTTATAATTTTTATAACTTCAAGTGCAAAAATGACTCCCGACAGTCTTGGATTGGAACTAAGAAAGAAAATTATTGGCGATTACGTAAGTGGAATGTCACAAAAAAGTATTTGTGATAAATATCGCGTAAAAAAATGGACCGTATCAAGGTTATGTTCCAAATATCGTTTTAAGGGGAAGTTAACAAAGTTCTAAGGCAGCAGATAACAAAGGTGGAAGACCGCGTTCCACCACTTCTAGAGAGGATTCTATGATTGTCAGGTCCGTCAAGAAGGATCCCTGGATATCATCAGTTGAGATACAAAAGCAATTAAAGCTGTAAGTATCAGACCGAATAATCAGACAACGTGCTGTTGAAGCCGGATTGTTTTCTCGACGCCCTGCAAAGAAACCGCTGATTTTTTTGCAGGGCGTCGTGCATATTGACTGGAATGTGCAGAAATGGCAAACTGTTTCGTTCAGTAATGAATCGAAGTTTAACATCATTGGGAGCAATGGCATTTGCCTTGTACGTCGACCGGCCGGAAAACGCCTCGATTTACGTTACTGCCATAAAACCGTTTAGCATGGTGGAGGCAATGTAATGGTCTGGGAGTGTTTTTCTGCTAACGGTCTAGGTCCAATACATCGAATCGATAGAATAATGGACCGTTTCATGTATAAAAATATCCTGATAGATGTTATGTTACCTCATGCAAAATGGATAGCGAAATTCAGCTTGGTCAACATTTTGTGGAGTTGCACTTGTTTTGTCCAGAAAGAAATCAACTTTTTTTTTAATACTTTTGATTAATTTATTAATTTTTGTGTACAAATAATGAATTTGTGATGAATAAAACTTGAAGAACGTTGTCTCTAAACATTTACATAGTTATTTCTCTTAATTGAAAAAACGCAACACTTTTATATAAAGAAACTAAATTAGCATTATTTGGTTGCACTTGTTTTGTCCGATACTGTATTTTTAAAAATTTATAATAAATCTAATTTCAAAGTTCTTTTACAAAAAGTACTTCGGAAAAAATTTCTATAAATTTATTTTTATTATTTTTTTACATTAGGCTTTATATCTTTTGTTTTAGGGTGATCTTTTATTAGGTTTATTATTATTTTTTATAATTTTTTATTAATTTTGTTTTAGGGTGATTTTTTATAATAATGCTTTCAAGCTGACTACAAACCATATGCTAGATTAATCTATTAAAATTGGTGAACTCGTTGTGTAAACTTTCAACATAAACAACTATTCCTAATTTCCAATTTTCACCATTAACGCCTGTATCTAATCTCCATTTTTTATTAAACTGATATACATGATTTTCAAGTAAATGCAACTTTGGTGTTACAGAAGCATATGGTAGTGTGAATCTATAAAAACTTGAGAAGTTGTTTGATTGCTAAATCTAAAAATTGACAAGATTTTCCTTTATACAATACATGATGACAAAATAATATCAAATTATAAAAACAAGTAGTTTACTGATGCACAGAGCATACTGAATAAGTAAAATCGAAAAAGTTAAATATTTACCACGTTCCTGAATACCATTATCTTAGAAATAGTATGAGCTATTTATAATATTATGACACTTACAATAATATGAAAAAAACTTCTTAAATTTCTGGCTCACTTTGATAGATAATAAGTAAACACCAGTATCTATAAATTCAAGGTCTATAACTAGCTTAGGAATCCAATTGCATAATTCAAGCAACGATTGATGTTTAAAATGAATTAAAAAAATATTAAAATAAGTCAAATCAGTTTATAATTCCAGGCATTATAAAAATTGGGCTTCAAATATTATTTTATATACAATAATAAAATTTTTTTCTTATATTTGATTAAACACTTTGTTGTATATATATACACACATATGTATACATATAAAAACATGTATGTATGTATGTATGTATGTATGTATATATATATATATATATATATATATATATATATATATATATATATATATATATATATATATATATATATACATATATATATATATAAAATTATTCATAACTTAAAAAACAAAAACTTCAGCCTCTTTATTAAACTTTATCAACCTATTTTGTACAAAATTTGTATTAATTTTAATTACAAATAAATTTAATGAATATTATTATTTCAATACAAATCTTCCTTTTTTTCTCAATTCATAATAAAGTATTCTTGGTTTATATACTTTCAAAACATTTTCTGGACTTTCTGGCTCACACAAAACTTGTATTCCAACTGTATCTTGCAGAAGAGCAACTTTTTGAAAGGTAATCTGTAATAATGCTATTTATAAAAACATAATTTGGACATGCTTGAAAATGCATTTGTCAAGTTCTGCTTTACCAATAGTTTTACTTTTTAATGCAAATTCTGGAGCAAGTTTTATATTAATTGAATGACATTTATCTAACATAATAAAAAATTTCAAGTAGATTTGCATTCAAGTGTTAACTTAATTTAATATCCTTTAATTGCAATTTTACTGCTGAGTTTTTATTTTATTCTGTTACTTTTAAAAATAAAATGTGGAAATTTGTGGTTTTGTGGAAATCTGTTCCGAGACTAGCAATGCCGATAAACGTTGTAGGGTATAGATCATAATTAACGTTTTTAAAAATGTTTCTATTAAGTTTTATTGAGTTTAAGTAAAAATTTTTGGTACATATATTCCAGGGAGATAAAAAAATTAAGGGAACATTTGTCATAGGACAGCGGCCTTTTTTAATTACCCATTAAGTTCAAAATATTATTTGAAGAGCTTCGCGCAAGTTTTATTAAAGATAAAATAAATAAAAAACCCAAGTTCTGCCTTAAAAAAGATTGTAATAAATTTAAGTTGGTTGTCAATTACTTTATTGTAAGAAAAAAATAACTAGTTTGTTTGTATTATAATTTACTTAGAAATAATTTATGCACTGGAAGGTGAGTTATACTTTTTTTACATTATCAATATATATGAAACATTTTATTTGATATACATACATACAGAAATTCATTTACATAAATACAGAAATACACATACACATTTTATACTGCGGACTTTTTTTAATTTATCTAAATTGTTTGAAAGTCAAAATGCACATTTCAAATATTTTAGCCTACAGAATATATTGTTGATCGATACCCGCGGTCACACATAAATATATCGTGTCACACACATACTTATCTATAAAAGTGTAGCCTTAAAAATCATTTAAAAAATACACAAGTTTTAAATTGAGAAAATATAATGGAGCTAATTATTTAAATATCTGCTAAAAAATATTACCTTGCGCTGAAGGAATCATAAAAACGTGATGCAAAGCACATCTTTTAAAATTGAATATCAGAAAGCGAAGTATATAAACAACTTTATAAAATTATTCTGAACTATTTACTTGTATTAAAAAATAAATATTTAAACACTTTAAATGCAAATAAAAAAACATATGTACAAGTATAAAGGACAAAACCATAGTGTTAACAAATCACCGTTTTTTTCTGGCGTAGCTAGCAAATGTTGGCGTTGTATGCAGGATGTCATCAACGCGCTCTTCGTTTTGACAATTATCTAAAGCATTTTTTATATATTGAACATCTGACTGATCTAATTGTCCATACTTTTGTTCTAAACCATCACGAACCTAGAAAGATCATAAAATGAAGCAACATTATAGTAAACACAATATATATGATTTATAAGTTAAGTTAAAAAACACAAAACACTACATTAAAGATTATTTTCTATGCCTCAATATTTGATAAACCATTATTTCAATAATAAACATTGGTTTTATTTTCTAGTTTATTTTTAGATTAGAGATAAATAAAAAATAAACGGCTAAACCGTCGAGTTAACATTCGACTATCAAACCACTAATAATATTTCAATAATCTCAACAAATAAAATATCACCATAAAAGATTATTTTTATAACCACTACACATTTTTCTCACTTTTATTGCTTCCATCTGTTGGTAAGTCTGCAGCTGCTTTTGAAAACCACAATTGGGATTGACCACTTGTCGAGCCACACGCACTGCTAAAATCGCTTCATCCCATTCCAAATTGGTTATAGTTATTAAATACGCAGCACATATCGTACTTGAGCGAGATACGCCTGCAATACTACAATATAACAATCATCACAAAAAGTTAAACAATAAGTAAAAAAGTTATTAACAACTAAAAAAAATTAAAGGTTTAATAACTTAACTATCCATTTTATCTCCGCTTCAAAAAAAACTTAAAATTATTTTCAAACCAAAACAAATCTTACCAGTGAACAAGCACATTTCCGTTTTTTTTTCTAAAGCAAAAGTTGATTGTAATGTAACAATAATGTGTGTGTCTATATATATATATATATATATATATATATATATATATATATATATATATATATATATATATATATATTTTTTTTTTTATTTTACTTCACCTCCTCAAGGCCGAGAAGGCCACTACAGACGAGGAGGCTACTTATTTTGTGGCTATAACCCTCTCTCAACTCTATAACTCCGAAACACGAACCTTGACGAACAAGGCCGCTGCGCAGAGAAACGAGTTGAGCGCGGTACTACCAGGGACGTGGTGGGGATCGAAGCGAGCGCTCTACCACTACACCACTACCGCATATATATATATATATATATATATATATATATATATATATATATATATATATATATATATATCATTTTTATAGCAGGGAAGATGTATTGCTTACACACACACACACACACAAACATATATATATATATATATATATATATATATATATATATATATATATATATATATATATATATATATATATATATATATATATATATAAGGAAAATAGAGATATATGTAAGCAATCATTTTTATAGCAGGGAAGATGTATTGCTTACACACACACATACATATATATATATATATATATATATATATATATATATATATATATATATATATATATATATATATATATATATATATAAGGAAAATAGAGATATATGTAAGCAATCATTTTTATAGCAGGGAAGATGTATTGCTTACACACACACATACATATATATATATATATATATATATATATATATATATATATATATATATATATATATATATATATATATATATATATATTAATGCAAATATATATATATATATAATGGTTGTGATCTGACCTAGTACCTAGTACCTCTGACTTAGTACGTTTTTTCATCTTGGTTTGACTAATTCAAATTTTTTCAAGCAGTTGTAGTCTTTAATCCTAAAAATGACTTTAAAAAGTGTTATGGCTTTTCAATCTAGATGTTTTTGAGCATGATGAGTTTATATCATCTTCAACAACTGATTTACTTCTAGCAAAAGTATTTACAAACGGTTTAATAGAGAAACAAAAACCTACATCAGATGCAATGCAAAGCTTTTTTAATAACACAAAACTAGACGTGGCAGTATATATATATATATATATATATATATATATATATATATATATATATATATATATATATATATATATATATATATATATATATATATATATATATATATATATATATATATATATATATATATATATATATATATATATATATATATATATATATATATATATATATATATATATATATATATATATATATCAATATATATATATATCAATATATATATATATATATAAAGTTTATATATATATATATATATATATATATATATATATATATATAATTATATATTTTATTTATATATATATATATATATATATATATATAATTATATATTTTATTTATATATATATATATATATATATATATATAATTATTATATATATATATATATATATATATATATATATATATATAAAGTTTATATATATATATATATATATATATATATATATATATATATATATATATATATATATATATATATATATATAAAAAGTTTGTCCTACATGGGTTTTATGTGGGTCTGCATGAATCCCACATGGAACCCACACGAAACCCATGTGATAAAAGCATTTTTTCCACTGGGTCTTATTGTATTTTTTCTTTATTAATTTTCAGACCATTATTTTTTTTAGACCATTCACAGCTTATTAGGACTAATTACCTGAGCACATTAATAACAAATATCTCTATCATCACATATTAGTAAGTGACCAGGGTTGATATTTGACCGGAGCCAGGTTTGATAAAATATAGTCGGGGTTGGGTTTATGACTGGGGCTGCATAAACATTTATACATCCTAAAGTATATTTTTTTAATTCAAAATTTATGTTATATTTTGTATATATATCCATATATAAACATCATTATGATCAACATGATCATCATAATCATCATTACCATTATCAACCCTCGGAATTAAGAAAATTAAGGTCGGCAATAATTTTAAAGGTCAGCATCAGGTCAGCAAATACCATAAAACATCGAAACGAGGTCGGCACAACCGAATTTTTTTTGCCGACTGCAAACACATTTAGCTTGGCAGCTAGGTTGGCATTGCCGAATGCCGACCCTAATTTCGAGGGTTGCATTATTATAATCATGATCATTATCATCTGACCATATTCTCTTTCGGCAAATACTACATCATATAAATACTAAAGTTTATATAAATATGAAAGGATATTGTATGCCAGTATCTAAATAAATAGCAAACATATATGTTTATATCTATAATACGTATGCATATAGCACATCGGATGACTTTATTCCTTCTGGACTAAAAGTTTGAAAGCTTTTATTCCTACTCTTCAATTTTAAGTCAAGCCTTATTTTATTCCACATTTTTCACCATCTTGAACAGTTGCTTTATTAAACATTAATCTTTTTTTTTCATCTTTTTTACAAGAACATCTCTCTTAAGAACATATGTCCTTTTATTATTCCAGGAAACTAATGTAAAAAGTCTCTCTTCTGTAACAACCTAAGGTTTGCAGTGGCTTACTATCAGACAAAGTCTGATAGTAAGAGAGTTGTAAAATTGTAAATGTAATTAGATCTGCTTTATCTGCCAAGCATGAGCCACTCTCCCATTTTGTAAGGTTGCATTTCTTTCTTTTTTTCTGCAAATACCATCATGCTCAATGCTAAAACGAGCTATCATCTCTATTACAATAAACCAAAATTCATTTTTACTTGGTTCTTATTCAACAAGTTACATCCTTTTATTGTATCTATCCCTTCATACTATAAAAACTTTTATTAATCCAGTTTTTTTCCATTAAAAAAACCTTATAACTTTTAGACATCTTCATGTTTTTCTTTTATATACAACCTGCAACTTTTAAAGTCTTCAGTTAACTATTTCCTAGTATTTTAACTTATTCTCTATTTTAAAGTAACTCATAACTTAATATTGGTTGTTTGCAATTTTGTTGGAGGTAAATTAGAGTTTAAAATATAAATAAATGTATACCATACATAATAAATGTATACCATACATAATAAATGTAAGCGTAAAACTATAATATATAAAGTATTATAAATCTCATATTTTCACCTGGGCCAGGTTTGAAAAAAGTCTTTATCTTAGCTGGGACAGGAACCCCAGTCACTTATTATGACATATGCGCAAAAATATTCTCCTAGTGTTTTAAAATTTTGTTTTGAAGTTTAAAAACACAAAGACTTTTTTGAAAATTCTCTCACTTTCGTTTATTATAGTGTATAATATTTTTACATCTGTTATAAGTCTCAAAAAAAAAAGGTGTCAGTGGTAGGATTGCAACCATGGTGCTTTGCTTCAAAAACTCTATAAGCTAACCACTTCAGCCAGAGGCGTGTTGTCTGACAAAAATTTTAAAACTATTTAACACACAAAAGACTACAAAATGGAAATAAATGCTAAGGATAAAAAATTAAGGAGATGTTGCCGCAATGCAATTTTTAAGTGAAAGTAAAACTATAAAAGTTAATATATGTTTCAATATGTTTTAACATTACAAATTTGAAGATATTTTTAGATATTTGCATACACTTTCGTTCACATTTTCTTATTAAAAAAAGTGCTGTGACTATTTCTTGCCATTACTTCAGTTGCAATGGCTGCCGAGGGTTCCGTGTCAAACAAAGGACACTCTACTTCTACTTCTACACTCTACTACTACTTCTACTTCTACTTCTACCACCACCACCACCACCACCACCACCAACACCACCACCACCACCACCACCACCACCACCACCACCACCACCACCACCACCACCACCACCACCACCACCACTACTACTACTACTACTACTACTATTAATTTCAGCATTATTATAAAGAGATTAATATTTCAATTCAGTTAATAAATCATTCTATCCATCAATCAATGATCAGTTGTGGTCATAATAAGAGAAGTATTCTATAATGTATAATTTTTAACTAAATAAACTTCTCTATTTTGCTCCCTATTTTATGTGCAATACACAACTTGCTTCACCGGATTGCAAAAAAAAATATAGCACAAAATTTTAATTTTAAGTAACTACTTGAAATGTGTGACTTTTTTCTCAACAAATAGCTCAAGAGAAAATTGTTTGAAGGAATCCCTAAACTCCCAACACATGTTGTGTTCATATTAAAGATAATGTTGAAAGAAAAAAAGTTTGAACCAAGTTTTTTTGATTAAAAATAAATAATGAATGCATACCCAGAAAAACTAATCTTATTGTTTTAGCCAAAGCTTGCCTTGTCCATTTTACTCAAAAACTCGGAGTCTTTAAATTATATGTTGCAATCTACAGACTTTGGCGATTCCTTTGAAGCATGTTTAATTCATAAAAGTTTTAGTATTTGACGTCATTGTAGACTTTTGACAAATGAAAAATGTAATTAAATAAAGCTGCGTTTTACTACTCTAATTCAAAAAGTACGTTGTAGTATTTTTTTAACATACAGCAAAACAAACTTATTTGTAGTATTTTTCCAAACATTGCAAAAAAAAATTTGTAAAAGTATAAAATAAAAATAATAAATTATTTTTATTTTGTAAGAGCAATTTTATACAGATATCTCAATTATTTTTAGATTTATATATCTTACTTTTATTTCTTTTGTTTTTAAATTAAAACAAATATTAAAGCTTTACTTACCAATCTTATGATTTTCATATGAGTATTTTACATAATAAAGAACGTTATATTTACGGTCTCTCATTTTTGTGCAAGAGTGCACAGTAAAGAGAGGGCAGTATTATATATTCTGAATTTTACTTATTTTCATTTAAACAATGGGAACTATTTCCTAACTTCTCTGGTCATTTTTATGCAATGACATTATTTGTTTTCCCGTCAAAAAACAGTATTTATTAACAATTACTTTCATTAACTGACAGTATTAATTAGAGATATTTGATGAACTGTTAAAGTTTTTTATTATAAAATTTTTTTGATTACGCTGATTTAATTTAAATTGCTAAATTTGCTAAATTGGATATAGATAAAAAGAAAATATCATATATTTTGCATTTGATTTTCGATAACGAAACTTTTAAAATGTCAGCAACTCCATACCAATTAGAACCTGTTAATATTATGAAAAAAAAGTACAAGAATACACTAAACAATATAGTTGACAGTAATATCAGATATGAAAATTCATGAAAGGATATGTGAGATCCTGGTTTTGCATTACAAGTACAACCAATAACAGCACAAGTCGGCATTATAAATTTTGATTGTAAGTTTACTGTTCAATATTTTATAACCATCAAATTAAAACATGAAGTACATATATTTTTGATAAAATTAAATTAGAAATAAATCAACAATGACCAAAGCAACTAACAGTCCAATCAGGGACTATTTTGATATTGATGAAAATAATCAACATAAACAACATAAACAACAACAATAATCAAATAAACAACACAATATCGCATAATTTTAGGGGCTTTATATTAATTGCTTAGTTGCTCTAAATAATAAGTAAATTTAGTTCAAGTTAATATTTCAATATTTACAGTTGCAATAAAATAAAATAAAAGATGTTTAATGTTGAACTTTTTATTTAGTTAATTATTTTTTACCTACATTTGTTATAAAAGTACCCGCATCATTAAAATAATTTATTTTAAATATATTTAAGGTTTTTATTAACTTTTTAAATTTTAAAAGTAGAAAATAAATAACCAAACAAACAATGAAAAAATTTATGAATAAAATTTTCCAAGAGTTTCATTTGTCAAAAATTTACAGTGATGTCAAATACTAAAACTTTTATGAATTAAATGTGCTTCAAAGGAATTGCTAAAGTCTGTAGATTGCGACATATAATTTAAAGACTTCGATTTTTCTGGTAAAATTGACAAGGCGAGGTTTGGCTAAAATAACAAGATTAGTTTTTCTCGGTATGCATTCATTATTTATTTTAAATCAAAAAACTTGATAATGTTGAAATAGAATTAAATATACTAAAAATAGTAATTAAAAAAGATTGATTGAAAGACCAAGCAAATTAAACCCTTAAACTTATATATTGGCACTCATAAGGGTCTTAAACAAATTCTTAGAATAAATAAAGTAAATCTTTTAATAAACTCATTGTTTTTCTTTAGGAATTTTTCTTCCTGCTAGTTAGTAACTGTAGTGGTGGTAGGGTGCAGTGGTAGGGTGCTTGTTCTACCACTGCTTCTGTTTATTTTTAAACAGAGACAGTGGTAGAATGAGCGAATATTTAGCAATGCGTAATTGTCAAGTCATTTAATAATAATATGTACTGAAACAACACTATATACATTGTTGCAGAACATACTGTGTTGCTATAACAGCTGTTAATATTAAAAATTGTCAATATTAGCTATAAATTGTAATAATGTTATAAATTAACAAAATAGTGTTATAAATTGTCAAAATTACTTTTAAAACAATTTACAAACTTTGAAGAAATAACATGATTCTGGATAGAATTCCAGTTTTTAATTATTCTATTGTTGAAGAAGTTATTTCTTGAAAAACACTTGAATTTTTCATGTTCAATTCTTTTACTGTGTCCACATATGTTTGATAAAGACTGTCGCTTGTTAGTGAAGAAACCAGTTTAGGATTTTTGAATTAACTCACAATTTGTAAGCCATTTGATATCTTATTTTGGTATATCAAATCCTATCTAGTAACCTTCTTACCTTCTGTAATTTTCTAAAGCTGTTAAATTTAGTTTCTGTAGTCTATCTTCATATGGAAGGTTTTTGAGATCTGGAAGGAGTTTTGTGGCTCTTCTTTAAACCTTTTCAAGTTCAACTATATCATTGATTAGAGTTGGGTTCCAAACTGGTATTGAACATTCAAGTTCAGTACCAGTTTGGAACTAAAAGTTCTTTTTATTTAAACTCATTGATCTTTGTGCTTTAACGACTGCTGATTTTACTTGCTCATCTCAGTTTAGATCAGCTAATATTAATAATGTCAGTTTGAAGTTGATTTGCTGCTTTTAAAATGATTTCATTATTATCAACAATTGAAATTAATTTGCTGTCATCAGCAAACAATTTGCATCAAACAGGTTAGGTAAATCGTTTATGTATATAATAATTAGGAGAAAGAGAGAGAAAAGGGTCAGCTTTTTTTAAGTAATGCAACAAGTTTCATCACTTAAAAAAACATGACTGCACACAGCCTCACATACACCACAAATAAATGCATGATGAATGAACAAAACAAATAAAAAATCTTTCTAAAAATCTTTGAAAATAATAGACTAAGTAACAACAAAAAAAAATTACCTGGCCTCATGAATAAATTCAACACAATCCTTGAAATGCTTTGATCTAACAAATGATTAATTGAAAAATTTAATTCAAAAATCCAGTTCAATTTTTTCATCTTTTCTTTATATCTTTATTGTAAATTTAATAAATTACTAACTAATTGGCTCCTGTTTTCTCATGCAAACTGTAAAGTTTGCATGAGAAAAGACTTTGGGGTTTTAAAAGACAGTATCATAATCGTAAGTTATATTTTAAGAAACAACTATCATTACATGAAGGAAATATATAAGAAATTTACAGAAAATTCAAATTTTAATTAATCCCAGAATAAAAAAAAATAATAAAAAATAATAAAATTAATAATTTTAAATAATCTAAAACTAAACTGACATTATTATTTAGATTAAACCAAATTAAAAAATATATATATATATATAACAACACACACTAAAAACAAACAAAAAAAAAACTAAAATTAAATAACAAAAAAATAGTATTAATAAAAAAAAAGTTATAGTAAAAAAAAACAAAAAAAAAACAAACGTAAAAAAAACAAACGTAAAAAAAAATGTACAAAAATTTAAATGTATATATGTAATAAAACTTCAAAATAATTTTTATTGCTTTTTAAATGGAAATTTATTTTTATTCTAATTGCACTCTTTTTTGTGATCTTTTTTTTTTTTATGTTTTTTGCATTTTAACATTTTTTTTTGTTCAAGTGCTTACATTTATACATTTTACCTTTTTATTTTGGTTATCTATCTTTTAAGACAAGTTTTTTTACCTTATTCTTTTCTTCTTTCTTTTTTTTAACAAAACCAAATTACTATGATAAAATAAATTACAATTTCGAGAAACCTTCATTCAAATGCTAGATCTCTATCTTGGTATGTCTATCTTAATCTACCTTAGCAGGCCTTCGCGTAAGAGGTATGCGGTTGCACAGCATATATGACCACGCATATAGTTTGTTTTAACAACTCGACCACAGCTCTTTGCAAGTTTTGATAATTAGCGCATTTAAAAAATGCGCTAATTATCAAAATATTTAATTAATTAAATAATAAATAATTATCAAAAAAAAAAGCAAATTAAAATTAAAATAAACAATCCATTAACTGAAAAGAGAATAAAATCCTTAAAAATATATAATTTTGTATCACAAAATATATAATTATACAAAAATTATCAATACAAAAATTATCCTAAAAAAATAAAAATTTTAAAGAATGATAAAATAAATAGAGGAAAAACCAGGAAAAAAATCAAAACATTAATTAATGTAAACTTAATTGTAAGCGAAAGTAAAAAAAAAAATTCTATTAATCTGTATCTTTTCCTCCCATGAATAAATAGGCTAATATAAGGACGGATCCATGGTGAAGGAAAGAGTCATAAGGGCATTTACCCCTCTACCCCCCCACCTCAAAATTTTGTTTTTTTGTTTGTTTGAAATTGATGTTTAAAAACGTAAGTAACTTAGGCTGTTTAAAAGTTAATAAAATTTTACTTAAAATGAATGCTTTTGCAAAAACTTCAAAAGAAACTGTGCTTAAATATTTCTATTGCTTTCTTTTATTGAAGAAAACGATCATGTTTAAACATGATTTCTTTTATGTAATCAGCAACTACATTGAAAGTTTAAAGCGAATGAATTCATTATAAATAACATTTTGCATACTTTTTTTTTTAATTTTCTTATGAAGTAATGCTTGTTTGCATATTAAAAACACTTTAAAAAGTTTTTTTATTGTGCATTTATCATTATTTTGTGCGCACTTTGCAAATGTGTAAAAAAAAAGCTATTGAAAAATAAAAATTAAATAAATTTACCAAACATCTTTGATGTATTTAATATCTAACTAACTAGAATAAAAAATATTTGAAAAGAAATTATATTTCCATGATAAAACTGTTTTTATCATGGAAATATAATTAGAAATTATATTTCCATGATAAAACTGTTTGTATTTTTTTTTTTTTTTTTGATGGCTGATATTTTGATAGCTTTTGATATTCTGTACTCATTTTGCCTAAAACTCTAATCTGAATATTTTTTCAAATAATTGCCTTTTATTACATTGCAATAAAGTACTTTGGAAATTTTGTAGCAGTTTAATTGTAATTATGGAATCAATTAAATCAAAAATTGCATTTACATTTGCTTTGTTTTTTTTGGTGCATTTTTTAAAAGTGCTAATTGTCAAAACGTGCAAAGATCCGTGGCCAAGTTGTCAAAAAAAAGTATTATATGCGTGGTCATATAAGGCACGCAACGGCAAGCTTCTTACACGAAGACTTTGTGTTGTTTTATTTTTACAACTTGTTTCACAAGATAAAGAACAAGAACACATTGTTTTGCCACAATCTTTTTACAAATCTGTTTTTTTTTTCAAATATACTTCAATTAGCATTTTCACCCGTTTTTAAAATTATATATTTTGTGAATTCTATAACTTAAATTTTGATACTTGAAGTATGACATTGCTTCAACAAGAGGAGATCTTTTTTAGATGACTAAAATGTTGAAGCTTCTTATTCATTAAAAATTTCACACAATTTATAACTTTTGTTAGAAATTTTTCAAGCCCTATCATTTATTATCTTATATATTATCCTTGAATAACATATATGTTGATTATATATATATATATATATATATATATATATATATATATATATATATATATATATATATATATACACACACACACAAACATATATATATACATATATTAGTGATCGACTGAAACCTGTTTCGGTATTGGTTTCAGCAAAAAAATTCAATTTGAACCAATACCAAAATTTTGGTTGAAAAACATACCGAAAACCGATATTTAACTAATTTAAAAAAACAGTTATTTTTTAGAACTTTCACAAAATATTTTGAGAATTTTCACAATAATATTGAGAATTTTCACAAATTACATCAAAAAAATCTTGTTTTGTGGAAAAAATCTGCCAGTTGTTAAATTTCGTTATATATATATATATATATATATATATATATATATATATATATATATATATATATATATATATATATATATAGATAGATATATATATATATATATATATATATATATATATATATATATATATATATATATATATATATATATATATATATATATATATATATATATAGATATATATATATATATATATATATATATATATATATATATATATATATATATATATATATATATATATATATATATATATATAAAACAATCTATTTACATATAAAAATACATTGGTCAATATCTTATAAAAGTCAATATTTTTCTCTTCATCTGAATCTTTTAAAACAAAATGCAGTTTGAAAACAAACTTTGAACCTCTATTTATCTTGTTTTGAATTTTATAAATTGTTCAAATCTTGCCATAATCCATAAAAACCAGGATTGGACACTAGGGTGTAGTGAAAAAACTTTTTTTTCGAAATTTAAAATTTAAATGTTATTTTCAGATGTCCATAGACATGTTAAGGTTTACTATGCAATTTTTTTTTTCACAACTTTAAAATAAATTACCAAAATGAAGTTTTAAATATTTTATAATGATCAAATTAAATAGTTACTATTTTTGGTCGAAAACAGAATTAACGGAAACATCGTATAAAAACAAAAAACAGACTTATATAAATTAAATTAATACACATATTTTTTAACTACTAAATAAATTTTATTTTATCAATAAATTTTTTTTTGTTTGTATAAAATGTATTATTATAAAAATTATATTAAATATTTTTATAGCAAAACAAAAACCTTTAACTTCAACTTTTAATGGTCTGTAAAATTATTTTTTATTTATTTTATATAATTTGCAATGTTTACATTTTAAAAATATATTTGCGTTTTCTTGATTTTGTTGTGCAAAGTTTAAAGAGTTATTTAAAGAAGAGTTTTAAATAAGTTCAGAGAAAAAATTAATAACTTTTAGGATAATTACTGAAATTTTGTAATTTTTCAATGTAATTTTGTTTATGTTTATGATTTAAAGAATCAAAAATAATCTAAAGTTGACTTTTTCGTTTTTAAATTGAATTTCTATACTTTTTATTAATTATATTTTATACCAAGATATTCACTTGAAAAATTTTGCAAACCAAGAATTTGTTTAATGATAAGTATAAATATATTAGCCAAATATACTTTCCTGCACATACCCTATACATTTTTTCAATAACTTATATATAGTATAACTAACAATTAGTTATATTATATTTAAGTTCTTTTAAAAAATTTGTAAGATCTATAACATAAAGATATATATATATATACATATATATATATTGCCCAAGCAGCAAAAAAGTTAAAGAATTCATTGGTCTTGGTGCTGATTTGTTACCCTCTGAATTACCAACCCTCAGAAATGTTTTACAACTAATGTTGTTAGAAATGGAGTCCTTAGACACTAACCTTCAGTATGTTTCAAAAGAGATTGTTCACGAAGCTGCCAAAAAATCATCTTGTAAAGTTAGCAAAGTCTAATATTTTAATAAAATTGTTGTATAATACATATTTATTTTCTACTGTTTCATTATTACATTTTGCTATTTAAATAATATTTTTTAGTTCTTATTTAGATTGTTGCACAGTATAAAAAAGTAAATATCAATATTCAAATTCAACCTAATCACTATATAGTTCAGAGAATTGAAAAAGAGTGGAAAAGAGTTACTCAAACTGTTTGGGGAAGAGTGAAAAGTTCTCAAAAGAATAAGTTATATTATGAAATCGATGTATTGTTTGATATTCTTCGTTGCAAGCACATTATTATATGCAAGGAAGATCCAACTTGTTCTGACCCTAAATGTTCTCATTCTGCTATTTCTCCAACCTGTAATTGTCCATCCAATTTAAAAATTCCTAAAATAGAGCTGAAGTTTATCAAAGCTCAGAGATTGAAAATCGGAATGAAAAGTGTTTACCAAATACATTGTATAGATAAAAAGGAACACACTTGACTACCGAAGCAATGCAAAAGAAAAGAAAAACCTTTAATCTTCAAAAAATTAGAGGAGAAGAAAGTAGAGTTAAATAATTACAAGTTTTTTAATGAAGAAATAGAGGTAGATGTCATTGAGAAAGCGAACGTATCTTCTAACCAGTTTGTTGACACTGAAATTGATGACGGGATAAAGGAATCTGTCATCAATACAAATCACTTTCCTCTTCTTGCTCAAACAGTTTTAAGATATGGAACAAGTTACAGAGAAGCTGCTGCTATTTCTTCTGCAGTTCTTGTAGATCTTGGCATTGTTAATAAAACAAATGATAAATTGATTATTGACTACCATAAAATTCACAGGGAAATGAAAAAAGTAATAGAAAAAGTCCAGAAAGAAGATTTACAGTTGTATCAGTCAGAAGAAATAAAAACATTATTTTTTGACAGTAGAAAGAATTTAACTCTTATTAATAATCAAGATAAAACAACATTAAATTATTATTCTAAAACAATAAAAATGGACTTCTACACTGTCACTAGTGAACCAGGTGGAAAATATGTATTCCATTTCTCTCCTCTTAAGCCTGGCATGAGCGAAAAACCTGCATTAATGATAGCTAAACATATAGCAGATTGGTGTAGAAAATTTGATATTAACTTACAGTATATTGGAGCTGACTCTACAGCTACTAACACTGGAATATTAGGTGGGGCTATAAGAAGAATAGAGGATCTTTTGAATAAAAAATTAACATGGATTATATGTATGCTGCATACTAATGAGCTTCCGCTTAGGCATCTTATTGAGGAACTAGATGGTAAAACAACTTCCAGTAATGGGTTCAGCGGAGTTGTGGGTAAATTATTAAATTGTGCTACACTACTTCCAGTAGCACAGGCATTTCCAACAACAACCATTGCTAAAAGACCAGTTGAATTAAGTAAAGATGTGATTGATGATCTTTCAACTGATCAGCTCTATGGTTATAAAATGGTTTTAGCTATACGTTTAGGTAACATGCCTATAGATCTTATAAAGATGGAGTGTGGTCCTGTTAATCACAGCAGATGGTTGACAACTGCAAATAGACTGATGCGAATTTGGGTATCAGTTCATGGTCTGTCTGGGCAAAACTTTAACAATTTAAGTTGTTTAGTTGAATATGTTGTTGGTGTTTACTATCCAATGTGGTTTGATATAAAAGTGAGGTGGTCTTTTATTGAGGGTCCAAGACATGTGCTAGAAACCTTGAGATTAGTAAAAATGCAAAGCCAAGTTACTAGGGATATTGTTGAAAAATATATTATATTAGGAGCCTGGTTTTCTCACAGTGAAGCTGTTCTAACCACTTTGCTTTGTAGCTCTATAGTGGAAGAACGGATTTTTGCAGTAGATCGTATTCTGCAGATTAGAAGAGGTTTTGACAAAGGAGAACCATCTGTCCGAGAAAGGACTCATTCTTCTTTTTTAAACATAGATGCTAAGAATCTTACTGAATTATGTTCTTGGACTCATAATGTATTTGAGCCGATTCAAACATGTAGTTTTTCTACTGAGACAATAGTTGATTTTAAGGTGAATCCCATGGTTGTTGATTCCATACCATGCCACACACAGAGTATTGAGCGGGCTGTTAAACAAACAACAAGAGCTTGTGCTACTGTCTATGGACACGATTCAAGAGATGGTTTTATTCGAGCAGGCTGCCATCACCGTAAACTTTTACCTAAAAATAATACCAAAAAGAACCTAAAACAGATGATTATACAATTTTTATATTTTTAATATGAGTGTATATATTCTTTACTTATTGGATCTTCACAAATTTATATTTTTTTATTTATACTAAATGGGGTCCATAACCAATAAAGGGCTCATTTTGCAGGTCTACTCTTTGTATAGTTTTTTTCTATTTTTGGAATGGGTTATGCCAAAAATTTTGATATATTATACCCACCCTATATGTGGCAAATAAGGATCTAGACTTAGTCTTAAAACTAAATTTCTCCCCCCCGACAGCCCCTCCTCATTTAAAAAGTCTCTGATAAACTTTTTCTTTTTTTTTTTTTAACTATTGTTTTGAAATAGATAAAAATTTAATAGCAGTTTTTAAATTTTGACAAAAATATGATGTGTTTAAAAGTTATTATTATTGTTAATAACTCCCCCATTTACCCCATTTTGGTAATTTATTTTGAAGTTATGAAAAAAATTTTTTAACAGTATATCTTAAAATGTCTATGGACATCTGAAAATAATATTTAAATTTTCAATTTTGAAAAAAAAGTTTTTTCACTACACCCTATTGGACACAACAGTTTTTAAAACAAATTGGATTGGAAAGAACCATGATGATACTTAAAAAAAGTAAATTAAAAAAATACTTCAAAATTGGCTTTGATAACTTTTATAACCAATGATCAGCTGCGATGTCATCAGAGAATATTCTTAAACAAAAGATTTGTTGTGATGATTCTTAAACAAAAGATTGAATGTAATGATTCTTAAACAAAAGATCAGCTGTGATGATTCTTAAACAAACGATTGACTGAGATGATTTTTAAACAAAAGATTGGCTGTGATGATTTTTAAAACAGCACTAGTAATAGAAACTTTATCTATCAAAAGTCTACCAAACCTTATTAGGTTTAAAAAAATTTTAAAAATTGACAAATCTTTCAAGCAAAGATGTCACATAAAAACTTTGAACTGCTTACATATCCTCTCCAGGGTTATCTGTGATATCCACACATTTGTATTCAATTGTCTAGTTTTAAGAAAAAACAAAAAAAAATAACACAGTATTACAAACTTCATGTACTAAGATAAATCTAACATAACAAAATCTAATACCTCAAGACTTGGTTTTGCATTGTCATGAACAGCTAAGATATGTGTAATGTTGTTGCCTGTTATTTGTTCCATATCCTTTGCATCTATATTTTTTATTATTAATAAATTTGTGTAAAATAAACATTTGATTTTATATCAACTCAGGAAAGAAAAAAAAAACAACAACTAAAAAACTATAAAACAACAAGCTAACCTCTAAAATTCCCGATGAATAAACCCGGCAAAACCTAAAATTGTTTTTAAAAAACAACAACTTTAAATACTATAATTTTATGATTGAAATTAGTAAGACCTTTATAATTAAAAAAAAAATTAATAAAAAACTTTTTTGGAAAGCAAATTTTTGTCACATCAGCTTAAAATTATCAATTTAATTAATAAACTGGAAAAAAAATCTATTTTGAAGTTTTAGTGTTAAATAAGCTTTTTTAAATAAATTTATAGAACTTATTAAACCTTGTTCATGCCATTCCCCATTCTAATGATCAAACAATAATCACTATCAACAATGATATAAGTACAACGAATCTGTCAATGCTTAAAACATCATTAAATCATAAACATAAAAACTCTAAAATGAAATAAAACAATATATAATTTTTAAATGAAAAATATTTTTAGAGACCCTCAAACATTAAATGAGTTCCTATTATTACCAAAAAAAAAAAAATGTTTTTCAAAAGTATGTCATGTTGGGTCTCAAATGAAGCAAAATTATATAAAAATTCTAAAAATAAGAATCATTTTTTAAATAAATTATTTGTTTTTAATTTAAAAAAAAATTTATCTTTATTGAAAACTTTAAAGGGAAATTTAAATTTAACATAGAAAAGGGAACTTAACAAGATTTTTTATTATAAATTTTTTTTCTTTATTTTTTTAAAATTTTTAAAAATTATGACTATTTTTGAAATTTAGCATCGTTTGAGACCCAACATTTAATGTTTGAGGGTCTGTAGCAACCCCCAAAATTATTTATTTAAAATTTTTTAAATCCAGTATAATTTTATTATATAGAACAGATTTTGGGGGTGCAGCAGATATTTTTAAAAAAAGCTATTTTTCTAACCACCCTAATATATATACAATATATAATACACACACACAGATATACACACACACACACAAATATATATATATATATATATATATATATATATATATATATATATATATATATATATATATACACACACATATAAACAACATATGTATGAAACATAAACATAGCTTTGTATATCTCAATCCACACTCATACATATTTCATAATACAATTACAAGACTGTTATTATCATTAAAAATTTTTTAATTGTCATTATATTTATTCAATTCTTCAATTATCAATCAAATACCAGGTAATTTAATTTTTAATGTGTGCAAGAATAAGAAAAACAAAAAATATTTGTTATAAATATTAAGAACAAATAAAATAAAAATTTTTTAAACTCATTACTAGTTGTTGTCAAGCACTGGTGTGCTTAGTGTTAACAAAACATCAAAATCTCAAATCAATGATTAAAAAAAGTGTAAAGTAATGATGGCATTTTGATGCTTTTTTTTTTTAATACAGTTATAAATAAAATACTACAAAATCATAATTAAATTAATTTGATTTAAATTTTTTGTCAATGCTGAAAATTTGTTAATTATAGTATATTTACAAAGTGTCAAAAACTCAATAAGTCCATGGATTCACTCAAGTCCATGGATTCATACTTTCCAATGCATTATTTAAATACTCATACAAATTTAAATAGAAAATATTTTTAGCTAATGCATTTAAAAACAACATAAATTAAATCAATAAACTTAACTGAAAATAACTAAAAAATAATTGAATCATGATTTTTATTTGTCAATTTAAATCAAAGTATGCATAACAACTTATCAGCTGAGAACCAAGAGGTTCTATGTCCACATTTTGTATTTTTACTGTTTATTATCAAAATTAGTGGAGTGTGTCCACTAAATTTACTCTCAAAAATAATAAAACTTAAAATAATCAATATATAAAGACTTTCTGACAGAAAGTCTTTCCATACTTAAACTTAATTTTCTCAGAAACACAAAAAATGGACATACAGCCCCCTCATTGTTCTTGGCCTATGAAAAGGTTTTTAAATTGTCATTTTTAGTACTGTTAAATAAGCTTATAAATATAATAAAATATTTATAATATTAATAAACAGCATATTCAGCAACGAACTAACTATGGAATTAAAATGACTTGCAAGAACTAATCTACTTAGAATTTTCAAGGCTACAGTCTTAAATAGTATTGTTAAATCTTATTGTTTTCATAATGCAGTGCAAAACATTCAAAGATAACAAATAGTTTTAAATAAATTTTTGCAAAAAAAATATAAATAATTTTCAAAATAAAAAAATAAAACAAGGATAAATGTAAACCAGTACAAATAAACAAGCAAACCATCAGGAAAAAAACAAACATCACAATTTGAACAAGTTAAAAAAATATGTTCTAAAAATATAAATAACATGTAAATATAATTTTAATTTAAAAAATAATCAATTAAATAATTCATATCATTGATAAAATGTAAATATTAAATTTACCCTTTAAAAAATAAAATTCGAAAAAACTGAACTAAAAAAACAAATTCGAAAAAATTGATTGTTATTGAATTTAAAATCACCAGTTTTGTCAATATTAATTAAACAATGAAAACTTCAAAAAATAAATAATAAAAATACAATGCAGTTTAGTAAATTTTAAATCAAACTATATTACGAAGCTTTATGATTAATAGTTTTTTATTAATTTTTCATTTTTAATTTCAACCTTCATTAATATTTTTGACTTTATTTTCTTTTTTTGCACGTTTATATTTCTTAGTATGAAATATTCTTATCAAGATCCAACAGAACTTTTCGAATGTATTCAATATCTGAAAGCTTTATTTCACCAAAACGTTTAGTTAATTTGTTTTTTATCTAAAATTGAATATACAATTTATATTAAAAATAGATTAATGAATATACATATAAGTTAAAAATATAATTAAAAATAAAAAGTATAAATAAAAGATACAATTTTTAAAAACTTATAAAAATGAAACTTGAAAAAAAACAACTTTATAACAGTATACACAACACGCTAAAGAACTTATATCAACAATATATTTATATAATATTAATATCAACAATATATATATATATATATATATATATATATATATATATATATATATATATATATATATATTGTGTGTATATATATATATATATATATATATATATATATATATATATATATATATATATATATATATTGTGTGTATATATATATATATATATATATATATATATATATATATATATATATATATATATATATATATATATATATATATATATACAATATATATATACAATATATATATATATATATATATATATATATATATATATATATATATATATATATATATATATATATATATATATATATATATATATATATATATATATATATATATTGTATATATATATATACAATATATATACAATATATATGTATATATATATATATATATATATATATATATATATATATATATATATACATATATATATATATATATATATATATATATATATATATATATATATATATATATATATATATATATATATATATATATATATATATGTATAATATTTATATGAACATATGACCGATAAAAACAAATGAAATTTAAAAAAATCTAAAACCTTTATAGGGCCTTGTGATTCAAAAGCTTGTAATTGTGCTTTAAAACCAAAGTTAGGATTAATTTCTTTTCGAGCAAAATGGACAACTTTTAATGCTTCCATGCATTTTAGGTCAGCTATTGTCATTAAATACGCAATGCATATAGTACTCGAGCGAGACACACCAGCTAGACTGCAGATTTTTTTACAATTTTATAAAAATTATACAGATATATTTTGTCAACAATATTGAAAATATTGAAAAAAAAAATATTAACTTACATATAAACTTTTGATGCTTTTTATTAAAAGTAATAAAATAAAAATAAAAAAATCAGAAGGTTTTGAATAAATAAACTTAACTGTTTGAAACTAAAAAGCTAAAGAACAAATGGTTACAAAATAAAAAATAATATAAAAAATATTACCAGTGCACTAAAACATTACCAGACAATGACCTAAAGAAATTTTTTTATCAATGTATGGTTATTTAGACATACGTAAACATGGACTTACACATTAAAATAAAAAAATTATTAAGTACAGTATATTCATAAAATGATGTTTAAAGGCCTAACAAAGAAAAAAATATTTGAAAATCAAAAAAAAAAACTCTTTTTTTTTTTAACTTTTACTGGTGATAGCTTGTTTATAGCTGCTTTTTAAATCAAATAGCTTAGACTTTCGAAAGTTTTATTTTGAGTAAAAGGGCTCAAAGATTTGCTGACAGAAGTTTTTTATTATAATTCTTATTTGAATTTTTTAAAATTGCTTTGTAGCTGGTGTTTTAAACATACATAATCTATATATCAGTGTAAAGATAATGAAAAACTTTAAAAATATCAAAATATGCAAAATAATAATTTATTTAAACTAATTTCAATAAAATCTTTGCAAAAAATATGTTTGTAGTTAGTACATAACTTAAAATCAAAAAAACAAAGCTAGAAACGAAAAATGGTTGTTAATAACAGAAGAAATCTAACATGCAATAAATACTTGAACGTTAGATTAACAAAATAAGAAAAAATTTTGTCTTTGACTGTGTGATTCATTATTCTTTGAATAAATTTTTTTTTTTAATTAGCTCTTTTAAAAAAATACAGATAACATATTTAATTAATAAGCAGGTAAAGTGTTTGAATTATAAAACAAAATGATAAATATCTTGCTATTGAAAAATATTTGTGAAGAAAAACTTTAGAGACAATAGTAATAGTAGTTGTAATATGTTTGAGCTGTGACCGATAATTCGGTGAGTGTAACAAGTACGCTTAGACAGCTATATCATTACTCAACATAGCTACATTATTTAAAATCCATATGTTAATTTTACCTTCGAAAGAATTCACTAACGACATCAGTAGGTAGTCGATTCCAGTAAAAAGATGCTCTGTTTGTTAAAAAATAATGCCGCGGCAAAAAACTGGTTATTTTGCGATTATATTTCATTTGATGACCTTTTGCTGATTGATAATTTCTTGGCAAAATTTCATTAAACCTATTTTTCAATTCCATTGAATAACTTATACATTTGAATCAAGTCACCCCGAATCCGTCTTACAACTAAAGCATGATGCTGTACCTTTTCTAAGAGATTAATTTCATTTTTAAGACATGGAGACCACACAGATCAGTGAATTCAATTAACAGTCTTACAAAAGTTGTATATATAATTTTTAGTAATTCACAATTTAAACTTAAAAATGTATTGCTCAACATACCCAAAACTTTATTTGCTTTACTTGCACATAGAGTTATTTGATTTTTCCATTTCAAGTCAAAGGTAAATACACCAAGATCTTTTTCAGCGTCAGTGATACTTAAAGGGATATTTTGCATAAAATAAGTTCTTTTTAGGTTATTTTTGCCGAAGGGCATTATCAAACACTTCTCAAAATCAAATTTTAATAGCCATTTGTTGGACCAGTTGACAGCTTTATCTAGGTCATTTTGCAATAGGTTAACACTTACTTCACAATCGACCCTAGATAATACTTTTGCATCATCAGCATAGATTTTCGAAATATTAACAAAGTTCTCAGACATATCATTAATATAAATAATAAATAGTAAAGAACCAATAACCAAACCCTGCAGCATACCACTAAATATATTCTTCCATGATGAGACAATTTCTCCCATTGCAACTCTTTGTCTTCTATTTTCTAGAAATACTTCAATTCATTTTAACAATGTACCAGAAATCCCATAACATTTAAGTTTTATCAGTAGTCTTTTATAGGGCACTAAATCAAACACCTTTGCGAAGTCTAAGTAAATTACATCTACAGGTATATTCTGAGATAAATAATACAAGATTGCATCTAATGTCTCAATAAGGTTGGTTGAACAAGATCTTTTTTTAACAAAGCCATGTTGATTTTTTGAAAGAAGATTATTTGCATTTAGAAAATTTGTTATTAAACCTCGGATGATAATTCAACGGCAACAGTTTACTTTTTTTAAATTGAGCAATAATATTGGCCGACTTCCACTGAACAGGTAGTTCACTATAAACAATAGAAGCTGTAAATATATGTGCAAGCGATAGAGCTATTCCATATGCCCAATTTTTTAAGATTAAAGGTTTAATAAGATCTGCTCCACACAACTTCTCTGTATTTAAACGTTCTAATCTATTAGAATCTATTAAGAATATCTTTGTATGAGATTATATCAAAATCCTAATTTTTATTGATTCTAGACGCAAATATTGGCAAATTAAATTCATTCTCATGGAAAAATACATCTTGGATTTTTTATTTAGTAAACTTACGATCTGATTTGGATCATTTGCCACTATTCCATTTTCATTACGTAAAACTTTTATTGAGTTATTGATCTGTTGTTGTCTATTCATATCTTTGCAAATTAACTTTGGATTTTTCTTAGCCAATGTCACAAGGTTTTTTTCATACTCTATTATTTTTATCTATTATATTTTCATATTATAATATTTTTCATTTCATATTCATATTATTGTATTTTTATCTATTATATTTTCATCTAATCTATTATATTTTCATAATATATTTTCATAATCATGTCTAGCTTTTTATGATTCACTTTTGACAATCTTGCAAATTTTTTGTATTCATTCACAAGAGAAGAAACTTTCCACCCTGAAGAACAGTTGCAAAATCTAAGTGTCTTTTTTAATTTTATTATTTTTTTAAGATCATTGTTTATCTAAAATATTTGATTTTTTTATTAATATCTAATTTTTTAATTGGAATGTATAGTTTATACACTGCATTCATGTAAAATATAAATATATTATAAATTTCTTGGACTGATTTTCCATTAAAATACGTTAACCAATGCACATTGGAAAACAATCTATTAATTGAATCGAAATTTGCTTTCCTATCTCATACAGTTACATCCTTATTTATAAAACTTTTCTGACCTAACAAAATTTCGTAACTTAGAACTAAGTGCTCTCTTTCTGGATGTGATTCATTTTGTAAATAATAAGTAAAGAATATTTAGGCATTCATTGTTTGACAATTGAAACATTGGAAAAGAAACGTGCTGGATAAGAAAGTGATCATTCAAAATATCATAAAATTCATGAGAGTTTTCTTTGTTTTCAATCAATTTTATAACACCTTTGGACTATTTAATGTTTAAAAAATTAAAGTCCCCATATCCTTAAAATTGTGTTTATCAACATAAGATCTTGCAGTTTCAAATACCTTATTAAAGATTTCCATATTAACAATTTCATTTGCTCTGTATATACATCCTAATAAATAACTATTGTTACAGATAATAAATGCAACCCATATTTGCTCAACTTTTTCGGAACTCAGAATTTTATCTTCAACTTGATAGGATACAAAATTGTTATATATGTATAGTGCAACACCACCACCAATTCTACCATCTTTACGATCATTTCTGTACAAAAAGCAACCTTCTAAATTTGCAATCGAAGTCTCTCTGAACCAAGTTTCTCTGATAATACATGGATTTACATCACGACATAATACCTTGAACTCCTTCATTTTATTATTTAGCGAAGTTGCATTCATATATAAACACACGGCTTGTAGTTTCTTAAATTTGACAATTGTTTCCACGGATAGCATATCGAAATGTAGTATCAGCAGCAAGTTGAGAGTTGAGCTTATTTCTTTCTTGTCTTAATTGAAAATCTAACATTCTCTCAGCTTCAGTAAAATAGAGTGAAATATACACATTTTTAAGGTTACTAATGTTTCTTAATTTTTTTGATTAATACAATAAAGGGTTTCTCATACTGGAATTTTCTAATTCAGCTAAAATCTTAACTCTTTTTTCTAAATCGGAAATTTTATTGTTTTTTTTGGTTAATTCAAGTTCTAATTAAAAATTTTTTTTCATCATTTCATCAATCTGCTTAGCATGCTCTATTTTAAAAGCATTTAATTTCCCCTGTACAGTTTGAGAGTTCACCATTATTACAGATCGATAATATTAATTACAAAATGTAAATATTTATATAGCATATTAACAAGTTTTATAGCAATTTGCATAAGTAAACGTTTCAGTACTTTAAAATAAAGCAATGTCATTTTTAAAGATGTGCAAATCCAAATGTTAAGTTATTGCTAATCATATGTTTAAGACCACAACCGAAACGTATCAGAACTTAACAGAATTAAAGACCAGAACTGAAATGTACCTAATAACTGCAGTAACTGTGCTGACAACACAATAAAAAAACTTTTCTCATCTCATCAAACAGATGATTTAAAATCAAAATGCAGCAACTGTATTAAAGATTAATTCTGAAGTTGTAAGAATTTCACTGGACAAACATCATTTAATGTCACTAGAACAACACATTATTTTATAACAATGCAAATTAGTGGATATATTTTTTCATCTTATAAGTTGGTATCAATTGCAAAATTTTATTTTTGGGCATGGTTTTAGGTGCATTATGTAACTTTTCTTTTTGAAAACTAATTTTCTAGCAAGTTCAAAATTTTGATGGTCAAATAAGAATGCTGCGCTTATATAAACATAAATATTATAATTTATAGTTAAATAGGAAAGATATTACCATTATTACAAGATTTTAAAAATTATTTGATGCCCAAAGATCTCAAATGAAAATTAAAAAAATTGAATTTTTCAAAATAAAATTAGTTTCTAATCAACATAGATTGAATTTTTTTTTTAATCTTTCTAGATAACTTGTGGATAATATCAGTTTGATGCATAATAATTTTATTTAAAAAAAAGGTGCAAACCCTAACTCTAACCCTGAAGGTACAAAAAAAAAAACCTGTTTTGTTTATTATTATTTTCATAAAAAATAATCTTGTCTCTTTCATTAACAGAAATGCATATCAAAAATCATCTTTATACTCACCACATTAGGCTCTACCCTTTCAGAGAAGATTAGAAGGCAGCAAAGTTATTTCAAGAACTTGACAAACTATTAGGCAACAACTAGCAAATGCCAAGTTGAAAGATGGCTCAAAACCGGCAACAAAATCCTTGAAGATGAAAAAGGAAGAAGACTACTATCAGAGTTCAGCAACCAGGCCCTACTAGAAGCCATGGAAGAAGAGGAAAGCCTGACAATACGAATGCTGGCTAATGAATTTAATGTCAACTAGTCAGCTATAGTGCTTTGTCTCAAAAAGTTTGGAAAGGTGTGGGAATTGGTTTCCACACCTTGGAAAAAAAAAAGGAAATTCTACTTTGTTGTTAGCCAGAAAACTCCTTGGTCTCCAACAAACATTCTGACAACAATAAAGCAGAACATGTGCACATTTTTACTGGTTTTCTGCAATATGAGTTTAGTTTCTAAAGAATATTCTCATGGGTGATAAACCATGGCTATTCTTTAAAAAAAATCAAAAGGAAAATTTTGACATATGTTTCTCTAAAAGGTGTCCACTGTAAAAAGACTATGTTTATATGGCGTGTAAGGTGGGACAGAAGCAAAATCATCTACTAAGGAAATCTCAAATGGTATTTGCTATTGGCAGAATGATAATGATGAAGTCCAACAGTAATAGATTCTGAAAAGAAAAAGTAAATACCACAACAACAATAGTAGTGTCTATCTGGCTCAACTTCCTTCATGCTGTAATTGAAGCAAGTGGATTACAAAAATATAACTATAGCTATAGAAATATAAAAATATAAAAAAATATCAAACTGTAAAAATTATTTTTTAAATAAACATTTGAACGTTTTTCGATATCAAGCCTCGTTGCATAATTTGGTTTTCTCTTTTGACTTTCTCTTTGTGCAGCTCGTATATCTAATCAAAATAATTTGAACTTTCTTATTTGCACAAAAGCAGCTTTTTAGAGATCAAATGACTTTTTAAAATAAAATCTGTCCAAAAATGTCTGATGCTATAGTTCATTATTCTCAGATTACTATTTTTACTGATTACATAGTCATTTTTACTAGCAAAGTTTTGAAACATTTAATTTTAAATATACTAATATAATATATCTTAAGTCAGTAACCTGCTTCAATTCTCTTGCTTTAATGCTGATTTAAGTAAACTTATTCAAAACCTCAATAAAAAATAAAATTTCTAAATATAATTCATATATATATATATATATATATATATATATATATATATATATATATATATATATATATATATATATATATATATATATATATATATATATATATATATATATATATATATATATATATATATATATATATTTATATGTATATATGTATGCATGTATATATATATATATATATATATATATATATATATATATATATATATATATATATAATACGATGTTTTTTATTCTTGATATGTTTCGTAAAATTTTATTAACATTTTCAAAAGATTATTTTACAATAATAAAACTCTGAAATAAATATTAAAAAATAGAAGTCTTTACAGAGAAATAATAACAGACAAAAATTTATATAATGAACTAATATACTTATTAGAAAATAACTTGGTAAATAACCAATCAAAATAACTAACTGTCAAAAAAAAATTATTAATAATAATAAACTGATAGTAAAATTAAATAGATAAGTTTATAGCATATTGTGAAGTTTGTATATTAAGTGAGGGACTTTTCCATTTATTGTGGAGGACTTCTTTTATCTTTAATTTGTGTTTGGTTGGGGCATTATCAAAAATCTCATAAGAATTACAGTTAGCCAGATTTTTGCAATTAACAGATAAATTTAAGTGTTTCAATATATGAGATTGTTTATCACTTTTAAGGTGTTCATTTATTCTAGTTGCCAAATGTCTGGAGGTTTCTCCAATATACCTGACATTACAGCCAGCACAAGAAAATTTAAAGATTACAAGATTTTTTTTTCTTAAAATAGTCACTTCCTAAATTGCTTAAATCTCATGTTGTCTTTAAATTTTCTTGTGTGTATATACATATGTACATATGTGTGTATGTATATATATATATATATATATATGTATATATATATATATATATATATATATATATATATATATATATATATATATATATATATATATATATATATATATATATATATATATATATATATATATATATATATATATATATATATATATATATATATATATATATATATATAAACCATATAATTTAATTTTAAAAAGTCATAAAAACATAGAAATCACCTCGCCTTATGAATAAAACGAATTGATTCTTTAAAATGTTTAGAGCTAAAACAACACAAGAAACAAAATAAAAAGATAACAGTATATTTTTAAGTACCTATTTATTCTTATAACTCAATTATAAAATAATTTAAAACATTTAACAGTATTTAAAAGAACATACATATTTTCATGTGGTTTATCAGCTATTCTTATAAATTTATACTTGATTTTCTAAAAAAACAAAAAACAAAAAAATATATATACTTATTCATTTTTTAAATTTGTTTTTAAATACATTTTTTATAACTAAAGGACACAAAATCAAATTAAGAAATAAAAATAAATCAAGAATCAACGAAAATGAAAAAAAGATAAATGAAAAATCAATAAATATAACATATAGAAGAAAAACAAGTTAAGAAATATTGGCACAAGAGATGCTAGCTCTTTATAGCAGCACCCATTAGAGTATTTATAAAAAAGGGAAAGAGAAGCAACATTACGAGGATGTTTCAATTGTTGAAGGTTGGCTGCAAGAGCAGGTTCAAATATGTTTACATTGCATTTTTGCAAATTGTCTAAAAAAGAAAGGGCATCATTCGAGGATCCGCTCCAGATATGGCAATCGGAAGTAAGAGTTAATCCTAGAAGAAAAAGAGTAGATGACTCATCAAGTACATTATTATTCAAAATATAGGAAGATCTAGATTGATGTAATAACAATTAACTGAAAAGAATTAATTAGAAAAATACTCATCATTGTTGATTAACATGATTTCAGGGGATCAGGTAAACAATCAATAAATACATATCTAATGCCATACTCAGTAATTTCTTGAGGTTTAACAGCGGTATTTCTAACAACACAGCTCTCCTCTGATCTCTTCTTTACTATGCAGTTACCAAAATTCCAAATTAAGATAAAATAAAATTCAAAAATTGATAACTGACTCACACGATTCATTATCAAATACTATGATACTTTTAAAAATACAAGGCAATTAGAAGAATACAAATAGAAACATTCTAATTTACACATGGGGTAACATATTAATTTATTATATTGAATAGTTAAGATTGCTAATCAACTTGTATAAAACAGAAAATCTTGAGCTTGAAGAGATTGATGTCGAACACCATTGGAAAATTTAAGAGAAAATATTGTTTCAGGGCTTTGTTACTGCAATTGGAGAGAAAGCCAGGGTCTATACAAAACTACAAACTTCAATTTTTTTATAGCCAGACATAAAGTTTGCCCAAGATGGTGTTTTTGGATTATTGAAACAGGCATTTAGACGTCACATATAACACGTCTATCAGAAACGCAACAAGTTAGACTTGTGAACATGTGACATGTTGGAGTGTAAAAGAGTAGTGTAAATGCAACACTAGCCAGTTTGATGGAATTGAAGATGGTACTTTTATGGTGTCCGTCTGAGATATATTAGTTACATTTTATTCACCAACATAATTTTCAAAACTGAATTATTTTAATTGTGAAATTACTTGAACACACAAACTTTTTTTATTTTTATATATATAAATAAATTTAAAATATTGGTTTAAAACATTTACTAAATTTAACTCTGCTTGTCCTGGTATGATTTTTAATAAGTCAATACCTAAAAGCAATGAGCTAGAACTTAATCTATTTATTAGTAAAATAAGGATACCAAATAAATCACCACTAGCAAATAGACTTCAATAAATTTTGTAAAGTATAACTATATTACACAACAAGCCTTTTTGTTACGGAATGTTATGCACCCTAATTGTAAAACAAAAAAACATTTTTTTTGTATCTTGGTATAAACCTACCATACTTGAATATCTGAGACAAATCCAAAATCTTATGAGAATTTTTTTTTGCAAAAAAAAGTAATAAAGTTGACATTACGCACTAATTTTTCTTTACACATATATATATATATATATATATATATATATATATATATATATATATATATATATATATATATATATATATATATATATATATATATATATATATATATATATACATTTCGGTCCTCATATTCATCATAAAAATAAATATGAGTTTAAAATTTTTTAAAGAAAAATACAGCAAATAAAGAACTATCAAATTTTGAGAAACTTTTTAAAAATTTTGATAATAAAAATAAACTGAAAATATATTTTTAAATATTTGAATATAAAATCTTTTACTAAATTGACTAAATTTTACTTTGAGCATAAAAAAGTAATATTTAAAACTAAAATAAAATTTAGCTTATTTGGGTAAAATAGTTTCTTTTCCAGTGTTTTTTCAAATAATTAATTTTCTTAATAAAAATATCTTTCAATAAAAAATATAAAATCTAATGCTTCAATCTCTAATAATGCTGTAACACCTTTACAATGTAGCTATAATTAAATATTTTTTTGCCTATGCGACACAATGATCACAAAAAGTGACCAACGGAGCCGTCCAGTTACGTAGACCTGGGAAATGTGAATTTAAAAACAGATTGAAGATGATGTCATTTAGGTAAAAAAAACATAAATTAATGTAAAGACTATTTAGTATGAGGAGTAAAAGTTAGCAACTCAGGAAAAAAGGAACCAAAACTCACACTCTAGTCATCTTTAAGCAAATGATAAAACAATGATCTATGAGCAAACAAGTCATTAAAAATCCGCTGGTTTATTAATGATACTCATAACTAAAATAATCGCACCATACAAATGCCTAATAAATAAGGTACTATATATATTCTAAACTCTGGATAAAAAATTGAGAACTGATAATTACCTGTGTAACATAAAAGTATATGTCATTAATGTAACAAACTCATAATAAAAAGCTCACAAAGCGCAAAAATACGAAGGTGTAAGAGGTAAAAAAATGTTGGTGCCATAGAAATAAAGTGATTTTGAAAAATATTTGCTATTATGACATCTATAATTTAAAGATAAAAAGAAGTAAATTTAAAAATATTTTTTCAGAGACATCGAACATTCCAAGTTCTACTTGTAAAGGTCTGTTATTTATGAATTTGTTTGCATTTAACATTAGGCAACCTTCTTGTTCTAAAAAAAACAATATTAATGACAAAACAACCAAAGGAACGTTAGTGAAGACTGTATACTGCAAACCACAACAAACTAACTTAGCGACGTCAGATCAAGAAAATTAGATAGAAACAAAAAAACCTAACAAAATCGTGATTAGTCTAAACTTATCTAGTGAAATTGTTCAGTATATTCCAACCTAGAATACATTTGTTATAAAAAATACGCTAATACGTACTTTTGTGTAAAATTTTCGCGCTGTTATGCTTCTCACAAATATACGGCCTCATTCACACATTGTAACACAAATCTGAATAAATATACAAGGATAAGGTAAAAAAAGATTATGAACAAAAGTATATAATAAAGAACAAATATTTGATATACTGATTTTAAAGGCTGTTGATGTCTACAGGTGTGATGGTGTAATGCATTAGTATGTACCGTTTGGCTGTCTAGTATGGTCTTGTTATGTTTCCGTTCACTTTCAAATCAGGTGAATAGAAAGCTAAACACACTCACTCCTTGCGCTTATGAGCTAGCACATCACAGCCAGACGTAAGACCTACAAAATGGATTTCAATTGATCGAATGCACACATTAGTCACTGTAGGCCACAAGCCATCACTCTTAGCCAAAAGAGCTACTGCCCCGTGCTGGTGTGGAATGATGTGCTATGAAGTGAGAATTCAGATCCGAGCACATAGTCAGCGAGCGCTGATCTGACATACATTATATAAATTAACATTATATATATAAATATATATATATATATATATATATATATATATATATATATATATATATATATATATATATATATATACATATATATATATATATATATATATATATATATATATATATATATATATATATATATATATATATATATATATATATATATATATATATATATATATATATATATATATATATATATATATATATATATATATATATATATATATTCTTGCAAGGTAGTTGAAAAGAGTTTCCCATAAACTGTAGTTTTGAAGAGCGCGTTTATAAACCAGACCAGAAAAAATTTAAAAACTTAAATTTTTTTTTTTTTCAAATGATAGACTGCCTGCCCAAACCAAACCCTCAGTCGATGTAGCAGTACTCCCTTGCGAATCAGGCTATTTGTCAGTCGTTGTAGCAGCACTCCCTTGCGAGTCAGGCTATTTGTCAGTCGATGTAGCAGGACTCTGTTGCGAGTCAGGCTATTTGTCAGTCGATGAAGCAGCACTCCGTTGCGAGTCAGGCTATTTGTCAGTCGATGTAGCAGCACTCCGTTGCGAGTCAGGCTATAAGATAGTCGATGTAGTAACATTTACTCATGTTTTAAAAATGTTTTTTAATAAAATAAAAACAAAAACATCACTAATAAAAAAAAACTTTCTAGTAGTTATAATTGCGGTTTTTTAAAAAATTTTTAAAAAACAATAAAATTTAATGTACTTCCGCATTAATTTAATTGCTTTGACATTTCGACGACAATCAAATACAGCTTAAGAGACGAGGTAATTAAAATTGTAGTCGTAAGAGACTTTTTTTACATTAAAACGCTCTTTCGACTACACTATATGGATATATATATATATATATATATATATATATATATATATATATATATATATATATATATTATATATATATATATATATATATAAATATATATATATACCCATATAGTGTAGCTTTAAGAGCATTTTAATGTAAAAAAAGTCTCTTACGACTACAATATTAATTACTTTTTCTGGTCTGGTTTATTAACGCGCTCTTTAAAACTACAGTTTATGGGAAACATTTTTTGATGCTACGCAAGAGACATGCAAGAGTATATATATATATATATATATATATATATATATATATATATATATATATATATATATATATATATATATATATATATATATATATATATATATATATATATATAATATATATATATATATATATAATATATATATATATATATATATATATATATATATATATATATATATATATATATATATATATATATATATATATATATATACAGGGTTCCCACACCTCCTTAAGAACTTTAAGTATCCTTAAAAAATAAAAACCTCCTTAAATGTCCTTAAATAACCTTAAAAAAAGTTAAAATTTGACTGCTCTCCTTAATTTCTTCTTATTTTTTTTTATTTATCTAGAAAAATTTTTTAAAGTGAATGGATTATACTTGTTAATAAAGAAGATGATATATAGATTTTTGATAGTTTTCAAACCTTTATTTGTTATTATTTATATATATATATATATATATATATATATATATATATATATATATATATATATATATATATATATATATATATATATATATATAAAAGTATCATGTTTTTGGTTGTGAAAATGTTTCTCATAAGAAATTAGGTTTTTTTCATTTTTTAGCTCCACAAACACAAAAGGCTGGAAAAAAGGTTCTTAAATGGAGTTATGCGCACGTTGACAATTGGTTATCAAACCTATCTGTTGATTGCCCAGTTCTACAACTAGAAATGTGCCCATTAGTGCGAAGTAATAGGTTGTTTGTTTTTCTTTTAATTGACATTACAATAGTTGCTAACAGCAACATTAAATAATTATCACTTCCTGTTTGTTTGTTTTTTTAAATTATATTTTGTTGTTATAATAACAAAAACAGCACTACTGATGATTTTTTGAAAGGCCTCTAGTGCTAAAATTTATAATTAGAGTAATTTTTGTAAAATTAAAAGAAGAAAATATTTCGTTTATTGTTTATTTTGTTGACTAACTTTTTTACTTATTGGTTATAAACATATAAAGTTATATATATATATATATATATATATATATATATATATATATATATATATATATATATATATATATATATATATATATATATTATCATGAATATATATATATATATATATATATATATATATATATATATATATATTATCATATATATATATATATATATATATATATATATATATATATATATATATATATATATATATATATATATATATATATATATATATATATATATATATATGTATATATATATATATATATATATATATATATATATATATATATATATATATATATATATATATATATATTATCATGAATATATATATATATATATATATATATACTGATAAAGAACAATATGGTTTATAATTAACTGCTCTTTCTATAGAAAAAAACTGTAACGCATTTCGGTCCTCATATTCATCATAAAAACAAATAAGAGTTTAAATTTTTTTAAAGAAAAATACATCAAATAAAGAACTATCAAATTTTGAGAAACTTTTTTCAGATAAATAAAAATAAAATAAATGAAAAAATATTTTTATATATTTGAATATAAAATCTTTGACTAAATTAACTAAATTTTACTTTGAGCATAAAAAAGTAAAATTTAAAACTAAAATAAAATTTAGCTTATTTGGGTAAAATAGTTTTTTTTCCAGTGTTTTTTCAAATAATTAATTTTCTCAATAAAAATATCTTTCAATAAAAAATATAAAATCTAAAGCTTCAATCTCTAATAATGCTATAACACCTTTACAATGTAGCTATAACTAAATCTTTTTTTGAATAAGTATATTTGGTTTTATGTTTCTATTACTTCATACAAAAAGGCGCATTTGTGAGTTATTTGAAGCATTTTCCAAATCATTTATTTCATAAAAAACATTAGAAAGTTTAGTTACCTCTGAATTTTTGTTTTCAGCAAGAACATGCCATTGATGCAATACTTCTTTGTATGTTTTATCAAATGGAACAAGAGTTAGATTTAATTGTTTATATTAATCTAATTGAAATAATACTGTAGCAATATGTTTGCAGAATCCTTCCATTCCAGCATTACAATTAGATTTAGCATATAGAACATTCCTTATTTTTGACAATGCATATATAAATAAGGTGCAATTTTTTTTATTGAAGCTAAAACACCAAACAAAGCTCTGGCAAAAAAAGAATTTATTTCAACATTGGCTTACGGTTTAACAACTAAATTTTTAATAAAATTCTTTTTAAATAGCTAATGCCCAGAGGTTTTATGTTTTAAAGCACCTCTAGCTCCAAAAATTATAGAAATATCTATGATTAAGTATTTATATAATTTTACTTGACTTAAATTAGGTAGCAAGGAAAAACATCTTAATCATGAACTTGTTTGCTGCCGTACATCTTCTTCAGCGTCTATCTCATTTAGATTAGTTTTTTGAAATACTAATTGACAAATTGTCATAGTTATTCAAAAAAAAACTTGGTTCAATAACATTTAAATCATGTTTCAAATTGCTTTCATAGCTAGCTAAAAACTGTGTTTATTCCTTACATAATAACGTTGGTTTATTTTTGTTAAATACATGCATTGTAGTTATTTCTTATAGAGGGAACAATCCATTGCAAGACACCAGAGAAATGATTTATTTATAAAAAACTTTTTTAAGCTAAAATAATTTTTTAGTGAAATACCTTGAATACACGTTTTGGTTGGGGGTAATCAAGAATAGATAGTATGTGCGTTATATTGTTAGCAGAGATTTGTTCAAAATCTTTTGAGTCTAAAGTATTTAATACAAATAAATAATTTAATTAATGGCTTACCTCATAAAAAAAAAAAAAAATCACAGCAGCAAACAGTATCAAATAAAACATAAGAAATAAAACAGCTAAGCAACAGATAAAAAAAACAACCTTTTAAACTGCCAATGTACAATCCAGGAAGAATCTAAAAAGAAATTTATAAAAAGTTGTTTCTAAAATCAATGAAAAAGAAAGAAATCTTTTGAGTTTTTTGTTTTTACATTCAGAAACTTCCAGGAAACTTTTAAATAAGTAATAAAACAAAGTAAATCCATGTCCCTCAGTTACTCTGCTAAAAGTACTTTGTTTTTCCAGTTAATTTTTCATATTAGTTATACAGTGATGGATAAAAAAATGTTCAGTTATACAGTGATGGATAAAATGGACAAATTATCATTTATACAGTGGATAAAATGGACAAATTATCAGTTATACAGTGATGGATAAAAAAACTTTATTAATAAAAAACTATTGATGTGGTAATAGTCTTTTGATAATTGTCATTTACAAGAATATGAATTTATATATATATATATATATATATATATATATATATATATATATATATATATATATACACATAAATAAAATATTAATAAAATAATATATAAAAGAATTTTATATAATAATAGATTGGTATTATGGAAAATAGTCAAAACCAAGTGATGAATCAAGAAAATTAATGCATATACTTTTTTTGGTTTAAATTGACATCTTAATATATTTTGCACACATTACGTTTTAAAATGCTGACTTTAATCCATTCAGTTTTTTTCTGAAAAAGAAACAAAATAAATTTTTTATTTTAGTCTTTCTCATCTTTGTCTGAAAAACTATCTGGATTTATAATGTGTGTGTTTGTATGTATGTATATATATACATATATATATATATATATATATATATATATATATATATATATATATATATATATATATATATATATATATATATATATATATATATATATATATATACATATATATATATATATACATATATATATATATATATACATATATATATATATATATATATATATATATATAAATATATATATATATATATAAATATATATATATATATATATATATATATATATATATATATATATATATATATATATATATATATATATATATATATATATATATCAGGCTTGGTCGGGAAGCGGGAGCGATCGCTCTCGAATACTGACCACGGAAATTATATTTAGTTGCGTAAAACTGGCCAGGTTTTTTAGTCGTTTTGAGAACATTTAAGTTTATGTACGAAACAAAAAAAATTTGTTTTACGGACATACATGGAAACATAAAAAACTTTAATGTTCTCAAAACATCTTTGTGCGAAAGAATACAAAGAATATTTGCGAACACTAAAAACCCGCCAAATTAACGAACAAACTAATTCTATTGGTTCAAAAAATACGCTGATTAAGCGAAATAAAGTTCTAGAGTTTTAGAAATTGTATTATACACGATTTGTTCCGTTTTGAGATTTCTAGCATTGTTTTAAGAATATATATTTTTTGTTTACGAAAATAAATGTTTTAAATATATATTGACTAAATTGTTAAAGTTTTACAAGTTTATTATAAATCATAGATTTTATTAGTATATTCTAATTTTTTATTTTAAAAGAGATTGTATTCTTTATGTAAATGGAATTTTGTGTATTTGTTTTTTATCGTAATGTATCTTTTAAAGCAATTTTTATGATTTAAACAAAGACTTACAAAAATAATTGCGTTTTCAATGAAGTTATAATCGTTAAAGTTATTAACTTTATGTAACAAACATATAAGTAGTTTCTGGTTACTAAACACAAACAACGCATACAAAGTAACTTGCGGATGAACAAGCATCGCGCCTGAGGTCACGACAGAACACAAATATATATAGCAAATAATTAGATATAAAGAAAAGTTTCTAGATATTGGTTTACTTACTCTAACTATTTTCGCTTAAGTTGCCATTCTTAAAACTCGTTATACTTTTTTCTGCTTTAAATACTAATTAAAATTAAAATGCCCACTCACTAAACATCATCAGCGATATTGTGAAGCAGTTTCGCTTCCTGGTCATTAAGTATTTTTCACCTTTTTAGTTGATTTCTATCTTGATTATCTAATTCCTATAGTAAGTCAATGATTTAATTATTTCATTTGTTTATCTTACTAAGAAGAATCGCTTCAAATATGTTAAACTTTTCAAACTACGCGAAACATAAAATAGGTATTAAAAAATTTAACTTTTTTATTTATAAAATAGTTTAGCTTAAATAAAACTAAAACTTGCAAACTTTGTTAATAAAGAATATTTGTTTCCTTTTTAAACAATCGTAAGTTGTTACTTTATATAAAAAACATCGCTTAATTTTATTTTTTTTGTAATTGTCTCTCATCGGTCCAATTAATCTTCGCCGTTTTTATTTTTTGCTTTTTAAAATGTTCTCAAAACAACTAAAAATCTGGCCAGCTTTTCGCAACTAAATATTATTTACGTGGTCAGCAATCGAGAGCGATCGCTCCCGCTTCCCGACCAAGCCTGATATATATATATATATATATTATTGATGTACCATCGGCAAATGCCGATTGTGGCTAATAATAGGTTTAATGTACTTATTTAAGGGTATTATAATTATATTAAGGATTCAAATTACATATTTAACATGTACCTACTCATCAGAAGTGATTCAACCTACTAACCTATGCTATAGGTAACCAGCAACAGCAATTAATCAGCTTGACTATTGGCTGATGGCATCAGTTGATTAATCGGGATTAGCTGATGCATCGACATTGGCTAATAAGCCAAACCAACCTGGTGCATAGGCACACCTTATATATGCAAATTGCATACCTAATGTTAAGATATTACCTTCATATAGATACATTGAACCCTATCATTAGCCTCAATTGGCCTTGGCCGATAACACATCACTAATAAATATATATATATATATTTTTTATATATATATCCTTTAGTTTTTAACTTGAATCCAATTTAAATGCCAATTTAAATCCAGATATATATGTGTGCATGTTACAAAAAATAAACTAATTTTAAAAAAATCAATACTAAAATAAATTTTTGGTATTCATTTTAAGTAAGCTTAAATAAGACATAAAAGGAAATTTCCATATGTTTATCCAAAGATCCAAAGATATGAAAAAACAAGTAGAATTGGTAAAAACGAGATGTAGAGAAAAAGGTGTCAGAAACATAGAAGAGAAGATCAAAAAAAAAAAATTAAAATTTACCTTATTCATACTATTCCCCATTTGGAAAAACTTATTATTCTCAACTATTATTTTTCATCCTAAAAAAAATATTCTAAAATAAAGTATTGCAAAAACAAATAAACAACACTTATGTTAACTAATAACTATATCATGTTATGCTACATGAAAATATTTATACTGAAATGTCATAAATCATTAAATAAAATATAAAAAAATAAAAAACCATGACCCAATAACCAATCACAACTAGAAAAAGTTCTTTTATTATTCTGTTTTCTGTATTTTATTATTCTGTATGAACTTTTATATTGACTTAATTTATTATTCTATTTTTGAGGAAAGTATGAATTGTTTGAATGAAGCAATGTCTCATCCCACTACCTTTATTTAGGAAATTACCAGGGCCCTACGATAACCAGAAAATAAAAAATAAAAAAGCAAATCTGGGTCTCAAAAAGATAAGACAAGGTTTTAATAGAAACATCATAAAGGCATAAATAATATTAAAAATATTTACAGCAACAAAAATTTCAAAACATTAGCTTTAGTGCCATTCTTTAAATAGCATCAAATAAATTCTTAAAATAATTTCATAACTGCATTCTATAAGTGGGAACCATACTCCACAAATGGATTTTAGGAGTAGAATCCAACCGATTAAATGGACTTTATGGATAAAACCCATACTCTGAAAACGCATTTTATAAGTAGAATCCAAATAAAATTTAAAATAAAAATAAATAGAGATTAATTAAAATATTTGCTTCAAAAAAAAAAAAAAAAAAAAAAAATGAAATGAAATAAAAAACACGAGATCACTACAAGACATAAAAATATTACATATAAAAAAAGAAAATGAGCTTCTACATTTCAGATATAATAAACCTGTTCAATATGTTGATGATTTTATTCAAAAGCAGCATAAAAGTGGAAACAAAATTCTAATTTTAAATAATAATTCTTTTTTCCGTAATTAAAAAAATTACATACAGATTAAATTATATAAACATTTAAATATTTACAAATAAACATATTTATATATGAATAAGTTATATTTACAAATACTTTAAAATTCTGACAATAAATATTAGATTTTAACTATTTATCTAGAGTTTCTTTTTCCAAGTTAAATAAAAAATGAAAAAAAAATTAAAAACAAAAAATAATTTTTTAACTTAATCCAGCCAAAACTTTTTTAATTTCCGCTCCATCTGCAGGATTAATATCACCAAATACTTCAATCAAAGCATCCCTGACCTAATTAAAAAAAAGAACAATTTAAAATTTGAAAAATAGTTTACTAAAAACAAATGCACTAATGATGATAGTCTAATCTGAACTTTCTTTTATTATTATGATTACCAAAATAATAAGAAAAAATTCAATACTAATATTTTTATTAATTTTTAAATCTTATTGCACATTACACAAACTGATTATAATTATGCAATCTATGCCCATGATGAAAAACTGATTAAGCAATTATTTAAAAAAAAAAAACCATTTGGTATTCCACAATAAGATGTCTGAGATAATTTTAGTTTAAATGACGAAACTCTCACAACATCACTCATTTTTCCTAATATACTTTATCAGTTCCTTAAAAAAATAACGGTTTTGGATTTTTATAACTTAGGGAAATAAAGCTTATCCATTCCTATTAAATTCCAATAAAAATTACTTCTACATAACAAAAGTCGAAACAACTTTATTAACTAGTTGATTTAACTACTGGTAATGATGCAGTTGGTATCATTACCAGTAATGATGCAGTAGGTATCAATTCTTTTTTATTACAAGTTTAATTCATCTTTTTTTTTTTGTAATTAAAAAAAAGAGCATTTATTTCAAAAATAAAAAAATAGTTGTACTTATTTGTAAGTTGTATTGTATTTTAAAATTTAATTTGTAATTACTACTTTAAAAAAGTAGAAATACCTGCTATAAGTAAAACCATTAACAGAAGTAAAAAATTAAAATAAAATAACCTCCGAGATTTCCATGCGATGATACAACACAAGTTGAATTCGGAACCCATGGTTTGGTCTGACAATATTCCTCATTGCTTTTAAATAACGTAAAGCTGACCTTGGGTCTACATCTGCTATAGTCATTATGTAGGCTATACAAACAGTGCTTGCTCGAGAACTTCCAGTGTCACTTAAACATGCAAAATTAATAATTAAAAGTTAAAAATTTTCAATAATTTGATTATAATTATTCTGTGTAAAAATTAAAATAAAATAAAAAATCACCACTTATTTCACAAACGCAGAAAACCAAAAACTTACCAATGCACAAGGACATTGCCTTCAGATAACCTAATAGTCAATTAAATTATATTTAGCAAATAAAATCAAAGTTAATCAAAATCAAAATTTAAATAATTGTGTATAAATGTGTATAATGGAAAATAAATTTTAAACATAAAACAAAATCTAGTTTACATATCGCCAGCTAAGAGCCAAGAGACCGTATGTCTATTTTTTGTGTTTCCCAGAGAATCAAGTTTAAAAATTTAATTTTTAAAGATTTTCTGCCAGAATGTCGGACTAATTTTTTAATATTTTTTAAAGTTATATCCAAAACACACCTAATTGTTTGTTGAATATTTATAAATAATAAACAGAAAAAACAAAAAATGTGGACATATAGCCTCTTGGTTCTTGGTTGATGATATATAGACACAAAAGCATTGTTTCAATAAATGTATTTTTTACTGTAAATTTAGTGCACAATATGACGCAACTAATAACATTGAAATGGTTGTAAGCAGGGGTATCTGTGCATAAACTAATGTGAAAAGGATGGGTAGGTTTTGAAAAAGATGGGTAGGTTTTGAAAAGGATGGATAGCTTGTGGAGAGGATAGGTAGCTTGTGATGAAGGTGGATAGCTTATGAAGAGGATGGATAGGTTGTAAAGGTAATGAGTAGGTTGTGAAAGAGATGGGTAGGTTTTATATGCAAATAAAAGAGAAAAAAAACATTAGAAGTTTTTTAAAATTAATAATTAATATTAAAAAACCAAATTTTTAATTCTTTTATTTTCTTTTAAGGACGATTTCTATAAGACAAAAAAAATTAAGCATCGTAAATCTTTTTGCCTCAATGAAATGCCAAAAATTTCTGACAAAATGACAAAATTTTTGCGCCAATTTTTTTTGCTATTAACAACAAAAATGACAACAACTAGTTTATGTTGTTTTAAAAAAAAAAAGGACTTTAATTTCTTATAGCACATGAGAAGCAAATATAACAATCGATTCTGATTTGGAAAACTACATCTAGATTGTAAGCAAAAATCTTTATTAAAGATTTAATTTATTAGACACAAATTGTATTTTCATCAAGTCTCTAACTATATTTGAAAAATGGTTGTCTTGGGTATGTCCATTGATTCTAAAAAATCTACATATATGAGAGAATCCATATAATGCATTAATTTTAACAAATCTGTCTTTGTATGCAAAATTTGATACAACCCACAAATATGGAAACTTTCTAAACTGAATGCAACTGAATTAAAGTATCAGTTTTTAATAAGATTATAAGAAAAGAAAAGCTAACCTTTAAAAAAAATAACTCTGTTGAAAAACTGATATCGCAAGAACTAACATAACTATATACTTCTGAAATTTTAAGTTAAGAAAGTTTAGCTGCCATATTAAAAAAAAGCGAAATTGGTTTTCACTATCACATGATACAATATTAAAAATTTCATTGGTTTCCACTATAGCAATCAAAAAAAAGTAGAAATGAATCCTACGCACACTGATGACATCATACTAAAATAGGTAACTGGGGTTTCAGTACATAGATTGACTATCTAGGAACATATAAGGGAGTGTCGCTAAACCAACTGAGGCTTTGGGTTGAGGCAGCGTTTTTTTCATTAATCTTTTTTTTTCTTCTTAAAATGAAAAATTAAAGCACACATTTTAAGAATTAGTGCAAAATATATATTAAGGTGTCCCAAAAATAACATTTTTGAAAAGCATATTTTGATACCCCCCCATCCCTTAATATGTTCTATATGATAAAAAAACACTGGTTTTAAAAATGTTTTGAATAAAAAATAATGAATTTTTTTACGCATGTTTTAAAAATGTTTTTTAATTAAAATAAAAACAAAAACAAAAACACCACTAATTAAAAAAACTTTCTAGTCATTATTATTGCGGTTTTTTTAAAAAACAATAAAATTTAATGTACTTTCGCATTAATTTAATTGCTTTGACATTTTGACGTCAATAAAATGCAGCTAAGAGACGAGGTAAAAAAATTGTAGTCGAAAGAGACTTTTTTTACAGTAAAAGTCTCTTTCGACTTTACTATAAGGATATATATATATATATATATATATATATATATATATATATATATATATATATATATATATATATATATATATATATATATATATGATGCGGTGAATGATATTATGAACAGTTGTTTTGGGCATCTTTAGACACCCAGCAACATAATGTTGGAATTATATATGATTTTAATATATATAGAGCATATAAAATATTTTCCTATTGGTTGATAACTACACAATGAGTAACTGTTTATTGCATTGGCGGCATTTTTTTTTTTGCATTTATAAGTAATCATCTGAAGTAATATTAACACACACACACAGACTAACATCAGCTATTTAAATCAATTGTTAGAAAAATTACTGAGCCCAAAAAATCAATATTTGAAGTCTGAATTTTTGGAATTACAAAGCTCTGGAATCGAGGGTCTAAAATTTTAAATACTTTTTAATTCTAAACGTTTTCTGATATTACCAAAAAACATAATGATTTATTATCTATCTAACTACAGCTTTAGGGTAAATTTTAATTTGATAGTTTAACAAAAAGTTTTGCAATATAATTTTGATTTTCTTTTGGACTATCAATTACTGTTACTTTTAGACATTATCAACTTACTAATACTTAAACAAGATCCAGTAGAAGCACTAGTATGCACTCCAAATTAATTTAAATTCATTTAATGCCACGCAAGACTACACTTGTTTGAGTGAGAAAAAATTAACTTTGTTTATGATTTACAAAAACTTTAACACATATTCAATATACGCAGTATATATAACATATAGTTATAACATGTATTATTTTGGATATATACACAGCATATGTAACATATAGTTATAATATGTATTAAATTAGATATATACGCAGCATATATAACATATAGTTATAAAATGTATTATATTGGATATATACGCAGCATAAGTAACATAGAGTTATAACATGTATTATATTGGATAAATACGCAGCATATGCACAAATAGTTATAACATGTATTATATTGGATATATACGCAGCATATGTAACATATAGTTAAAAAATGTATTATATCAGATATTCATTAGAGATTGATTATAGACATTGATGCTATTAGGATTGTATCAAAAAGTAAGAAGAATTTATAACTTATAATAATCTAAGAATTAAATTATTACAATTTTTTACGTCTAAATTTTCCATCTAAAGTTAAGAATCCAAAAAAAAAAATTTGAAAAAAAAAATTAAAGGCCCCCAGTGTTTTTAGACTTCCCTTTACTCTCCCCTTTCTCCTTTTTTTTATTTAATTTATTGATCATGATAAAAAACTCGATTACTGATTGATTTATACTGATTAAGAATTACAGGGTTCCCACTATTAAAACTAAAGCTAAAATTAAGGATTTTAAGGAGATTTAAGGAGATATTTTCCTAATATTTAAGGAGATTAGGTCGCAAACAACATTTTTTTGAAAAAAAAAGTAAGAATAATTAAGAAGAAAACGATTACATTAAAAACATAATCTTATTTTTTCAATAAGTTTTAAATATAAACAGAGAAATTATTATTACTTTATATATATATAAATATTAATATATATATATAATAATAAAAATAGGTTTGAAAACTATCAAAAATCTATATATTATCTTCTTTATTAACAAGTATAATCCATTCACTTTAAAAAAATTCTCTAGATAATTAATAAAAAAAAAATAAGGAGAAATTAAGCAGAGCAGTCAAATTTTAACTTTTTTTAAGGTTATTTAAGAACATTTAAGGAGGTTTTTATTTTTTAAGGATATTTAAGGTTTTTAAGGAGGTGTGGGAACCCTGAATTATATAGATGCATAGAAAAATAAAATGCAAATGTAGAATGAATAGAAATGTAGAAAATGCAGAATGTAAAATGTGAGAAGATATAAAAATCAATGAATAATTTTTAGTGTAAAACATTTATTTATTAAGATAATAGATTCTATATAAATTGTTTTAAATTTATATAACTGAACAATATGTAAAGATTATGAATATTTTATTGAAATAATAGTATATATCAAAAAAATAAAATTATATTTATTTAAAAAAATATTTTATATATTTTGAATAAATAATTAATATATAACAAATTTGAAAAAAAAAAAATTGTTTTTATTTTGTATCCTTTTGAAAGTATTTTTTTATTTTAAATTTATTTAAAAAAATCATAAACTTAAAATAAATCTCAGAATAAAAGAGAGGTTTAATTAAAGCTTTAACTATAAATTCAAGAAAAGATTAAACTTGTAAATATTTTAGAAAAAGTCCATCATTTTTTTTTTTTTTTTTTTGTTACCTAATAAATTGTAAATTGCAATTGCAATTTACAATTTAATAGACAAAAAGAAATTGTAACTGCAATTTCTTTGAGACAACTCTCTGTAAGCAACTTAGGTTAGCAATACACCAAAACTCTACACCTAACTTAAGTTACAATTTGTAATTGTGTTATTTGTAAAAATATATATATATTTTGTTATTCACCTTCTCAAGGCCGAGAAGGCCACTTAATAGTGGTTATAACCCTCTCTCAACTCTATAACTCCGAAACACAAACCTCGACGAACAAGGCCGCTACACGGAGAAACAAGTTGAGCGCGGCACTACCAGGGACGTGGTGGGGATCAAACTCGGAACCTCTCGCTTATGAAGCAAGTGTTTTACCACTACACCACTACCGCGTTGTCAGCATATATATACATATACGCCGTATATGTATATATATGCTGACAAAAAATGTTCAATAAAAATTTGATACAGAAAACAATAAGAGAAAACTATACATTATTGTAAAAAATTAAACCTAGCAACAGCAAAATGATAAATGGGCTAAAAACTCTACAGGATATATATCATACCTCCCTCTGTGAATAAATGCAATGCACTCGTGAAAATATTGCATCCTTAATTAAAAAAAAATCTTTATATATACAGTGATAATAGTACAGTAAAAATAATACTTTATTTGTTTCAAAAAAAAAAAAGCTAAAACAACTTTAACAAAAAATATTTTAGTACTTTAGAAACAGATAAATAACTTTAACAACTAATATAACAAAAAACTTAGCAATAAATGTAATAAATAATTAATAAATAAAAACTCACATGTTCTGACCAGGAAGGTTTTGTATGATAATTGATTTGTACTTTAGGTTCTAAAAATATTTTGATATAAACAAATTTAAGTTTTGTTTCCTTGCATTAAATTTTCGATGATAAAATGTATGTAGATAAAAATTAATAAATAAAGTAAAAACTTAAAATAATAACTCTGGTAAAATAAATATAAACTGACAAATGTAAATTATTATTTCAATTTTTTTCTCTGCATCAAACAGTATTTGAAGCCAGCTCGAAATAAGCGCTAGACATCGGACATTGTTCGGTACTTGTCCGTTAAAAAAGGTCATTTATTGGTCATTTTGTCCGACATATTTTATGTGTATTTATTTTCTAATCACTTTAGTTGTTACAAAATTATTAATAAATTAAGTATTGTATATAAACTAGGGATGTACCGGAATGCCGTTAATTTATGAATTGCGGTACATCCCTTTAGGTCATTCCGGCCGGAATTTGTGACTTTTAGATCATTCCGGTTCTGTCCAGAATTATGATATTTCAGGACGGAATGCCCCAATTAAATTTTTACTTTATTTATTTAAGACATGTGACACAGACTGTGTATATTAAATCAAAAAATTATTGTCCTACAGGGAAATGAAGGACTATGGGTAACCCTAGGTAAAAAATACAAAATTCTTAATAAATACAATGTAATTTTAGGTAAAGCTACAGTTTAGCACTCTAAAATAATTTTATTTTTTTGTTTGTTGCGCTCTCGTTAGTGGAGAGTTTTTATTAATTAGAAATTTTAATCGAAATAATAAAAGAAAAAAGATTGCTGCCCAATCCTCAGTCAATGTAGCACTTCGTTATAGAAGCAGGCTATAAGTTAGTCAATGTATCAACACTCCCTTGTAGCAGCAGGCTATAAGATAATTGATGTAGTAGCACTCCTTTGTAGCAGCAGACTATCAGATAATGATGTAACAGCACTCTTTTGTAGTAGCAGGCTATAAGATAATAGATGTATGTACTAAAGCCAATAAACATTCTTTATGTTTATATTAAAAAGTCACCACTTTGAGCAATGTAAACAAAACACAAAACCTCAAACAAGCGATAAAATAAAATTATTTTAGACGACATATCTGTAACTTTGCCTAATTTTATTTGCAGTAATCACTTATGTAAAGATTTCTAAAAGTTTAGGAATATTGTGGTAAAGAGTTGCTATCCAGTTTTGGGCAACAAACAAGCTCTTTTTTCATCAAAAATTTTACCTGCCTCTGACAATAGTCTCATTTTTAATGTTTCTTAACTTTTAAATAGTTAAAATGTATAGGATGTCTAATACAGTAAATATTTCATATATATACATATATATATAATATATATATATATATATATATATATATATATATATATATATATACATACATATATACATACACACATATATACATATATATATATATATATATATATATATATATATATATATATATATATATATATATATATATATATATATATATATATCAGGCCTTGCGATCAAGAATCAGGCGATGTGAATTTTACGTCCTAAGAGCGATTTTGCGTGTAGCTAGGGCTATTTGCGTCAAGCAAAAAAATTTTTGTTTGAGTATATTTAAAGATATTTTTGAGCGGAATTTTAATGAAGTAGTTTACGATTATTTTAACACTTAATAAAGTATTTTAAAAACCGCACGCAGTTGAGATAAAAGTTTGAATTACAAAAAAATTAAATATGCTCATTATTTACAAGTAGAAAAAATTCAGATGAAAAAAAAGTTTAAATCTTTTTAAGCGAATACTTTAATAAAATTATTCAGCAGTAGCAAAGTTGTTGATAAAATTGAACAAAAATACTTTCTTTTAGTTTTAGATTTTTAACTTAAATAATTATTTTACAGGGGTTTGTTAGGTTTTAAAATTATTCCATAGATTTAAAAATATTTATTAACTGTTAGACGTATTTAAGAGTAATTTCGAGGAAACATATTAAAAATTGGTAAGCGCAAATAAAAAAAAATAAAAGGATTAATATTAAAACGTATTCTACTTGATTCAATAAAAAAGTACAGTTATTAAAATTTTTGTAAAAAGTAACTCAAAAAAAATTACTTAAATAATAACAATCGCTTTTTTGTTAAAAGTTACAGAAACTCTTGTACTTATTTTACTAGAAATAAAATTCATTGTAAACATTAAAAATCTATTCAAAACGTTCATTAAAGTTTTTTAGTAATACGAGTGATTGTGATTATCAACCGCTTTATGAAAATAAATAAAAATAAATAAATAAATAAATATTATATAAAATTGCTGGTATAAAATACTAGCTATTGCACAGTTTTTAATCGTAAAATATTAAAATTTACTCGCTGACTTTTAAAAAAGAAAAAATAATTATTTTAAAAACTTTAAATTACATATTTGAGGAAAAAAAAATCAAATATTAGCATATTTTATAATCTTTTAAATGTTTAGTTATAATGTTTTTTATTCGTTTAGTATAGACAAAATGTGTCAAACGCCGAGAAAATAAACAAATGTTTTTACATTTTAAAAAACAAAATATTCCAAAACATTTTTAAATAATAACATTTCTACATTAATGATTTAAAGTAGTTTTGCAGTAATTAAGTAAATTGTTGCAGTTAATGTCGATAAATATGAGAAGCAAATAAAAAGAATTTAATGACGTCATAAATCACGTTGTGCTTATGCGTTGCGCAGTTTTTATTCATCACAAGGCCTGTATATATACATAAATATATATAATTATACAGGTTTTGGTGGGCTCTCTCTCCCTTAAAATGGTTTACGAGAGCAATTTACGGTTCTTGCAAAAATATAATTTTTCTTACAAAAGTATAAGTATCGTAACTAAAATAAAAAACACAATATCATTAAAAAAAAATTAATTGCATAATATACTGCATTTGTTTTTAAAAAGCACGGTTGTTTACAAAAAAAAATTAAAATTAAAAAAGAGCGCCGATTTAAATGAGGAGCAGTTTGCACAGCTCCCCAAGGTCGTTTTAGGAGAGCTTTTCTCCGCTCTCTTACTTATTTATTTGTTTGAATATATATATATATATATATATATATATATATATATATATATATATATATATATATATATATATATATATATATATATATATATATAAATATATATATATATATATGTATGTATATATGTATGTATGTATGTATGTATGTATGTATGTATGTATGTATGTATGTATGTATGTATGTATATATATATATATATATATATATATATATATATATATATATACATATACATACATATATATATATATATATATTATGTAGCTATGATGCTACTAATTATATAAATAAATTATCAAACATATTTATATAAATGTAATAACATATGAATTTTTTTAAGTTAAACAAACTTAACTTCATATTCAAGAAGTTTGGAGTAAATTCTTAAATTTTGTTTACCTGCAGCCGTATTCTCATCTCTCCGTTAAGCTTAACGGAGCGTTTGCCAAAAATTTCATTACAACATTTTTAACTAAAGAAATGACAAAAACTTTATTTAAATTTGTTTAAATGAAACTAAGACTAAAATAAAACAATTTTATTTAAAAAATTATTTTTTTAAAGAATTTTTTTTATTAATGTAGTTAAAAAGAACTTTTTAACAAATGCTTCGTTAAGCTTAATGGAGAGATGAGAATACGGCCACTGGACTGAGGATTACTGAGAAAAATTGATAGACTTAATAAGTCAAAAACATTTTTTATTATTTAACATTATATTTGAAAAAATCCTAAGTTAATAGTAAAAAATAGTAATAAAATATATAATAGTAAAAATTAATAGTAAAAAAAGAGAGTACAAATCCAAATTTAGGGCTGATGCCAATGCATGAGTATCTACCTGTTAGTTGGCAGGGGTAACAACCAAAAGTAAGCATCAATGCACCCCTAGTTTTAATTCATAAATAATCTATCATAAATGAACTTATTAATTTAGAATTCAATTTTTACCAATTACATAATTTTTTTTTAAGAGTGTTGTTTTGTGAAAACTTTTATTTCCTATACTTGTAATAAAAAAAATTCTGATACTCCTTACCTGTAAAAAAGGTTTCAGTTCAGGAGGTTCATCAAGTAATGAAAGAATATGAGTGATGTTATTGCTCTTTATTTGATTCTCATCTTGTGAATCTAGGGGGAAAAAATGATGTCTTTTATACAGAGAAAGAGTTCTTCTTTTATATTTTTAAAATGGAACAAGATCATTTTCAATTAATTAAATTAAAAGTTAGAGCAGGTTGTACATAAAGTAAAAGATGTTTAAAAAAAAAAAAATTATTTGATATCAGTATAATAAATAAAAATTATTGATTTTGGTATGCTGTGCATATTTCCCTCACCCCTCCCTCACCCTCTTCCTCCTCACACAAGCCATGTCTAGCAGCTCTGTGAGTGTCATTTGTTTGATCTCTTAAAGTGGTATGAAGATATATATATGTGGTTTATGGAAATTTGTTTGCAGGTAGTTGATAAGTCTGTCTTTCCCTCTCTATTCAGAAAACTGTAAACCATGATGAAGACAGAACATGGCATGATGAAGACAGAACATGCATCTAATTGATTATCAAAAGTGTTCAACCAAGAATTATAGATTTTTCAAACTGGTTTTAACTCCCTTAAAAGAAACAAGAGCTGCAGTACTAAACTTTAAAAAATAATAATAAAACAAGTTCAAGCAAAGATTGGGCAGGTCTTAACTGCAGAAGATATTTTTGAAAAGCTATAACAAGAAGAAAAAATAAAAATAAAAAGAAAGCGCAGCTATAGCAAGAAAAAAAAAGAGAAAATACAAAAAAAAAAAGATGAAGAAAGAAAATAGCAGCTGCGATATTCTTTAGATAACAAAAAGTTAAATATTGAAAAGAAAAAAAACAGTCAGAGACAGAGAACAAAAAGAGTAATTATGTTAAATAATGAAACTAACTCAATGCATTTCCATTCTTCAGAAGAAGAATATTGTTCACTTTGCATGATCTGTTAAAAACTTTAAAGAAAGGAAGCAAGAAAATATAAACTACGATGGGTTTTCTATTGATGCTGTAAATTAACTTCTGCCTTAATTTGCCAGTTAACTTTGAAATTATTAAAACATTTTATTGTAAAAACTGTGCTGTATAGCATCTGAGCATAAATAAGTAAAGAAATAAAAACTAAAAATAAAGTAAAGAAATACTAAGAAATAAAAAAATGTTCTTTTCTGTCAATTTAGATGTCAGATGCTAATAAGTGTTATTTATAATCAAATATCTATGTTACTGCTGTACATTGGGTCGGAATTTACTTTAAATAGAAAAAAATTGATAACTAATTAAATATTAGGTCTTTATTTACTAAGTTCAGCATGAGTACTAATATGAGGTCTGCGTTACTTAAAAAAGTGATTATTTTATATTTAGTTGTGATGAATACCTAATTTGGCATAGCAACAAGTTAATTTTGCGTAGTAGCAGATTTATTATGTGTAACATATACACTATATTTAGTATGCACATTAACACGAGTTCGTACTTCTAATGAAGGTGAAAAAATTTATACAACAAACACTGTGTGAAAAAAGTTTTCATCCACCTATCTTGCACATTTTAAAAATGCAATAACTTTTTATTCAACAATGATGTATGCATGATATAAACTAAATTATATCATTTAAACATTTAGGAAATATTCTACAAAAAGGTTTTTTTAGAGTAACAAACAAAATATAATATTTTTGAATAAAAGAAAAAAAGATTTTATCCACTTTACCCCACACTTTTAAAATTACTAATTTTAGTTGTTGCTGATTCCTCACATTGTGGATCATAATTATTCTACCTAATTCATTCCAGATGTTCAATAGGATTTAAATCTAGAGATTGTGAAGTGTATGAAGTTGCTCAGCTATTTTAAATATAAGCCATTCCTTGACACATTTGGCTGTTTTGGATCGTTTACCAATTGCTGAAAAATGACTCAAACTCTTCCATCTGATGAAAACATTAATTTTTGACTCATCGCTGAAAAGGAGCAATTCCCAGAATGTTTGTGGTTCATTAATATGAAGCTTTCCAAAGTTGTTTGGTTTTGTTGACTTTGATGATGTAGGACTTTTTCAATGGTACTTTAACATTGTATCTAACTCTTCTTAAGGTTATTCTAACAGTTTTAACCTTTTAAATTGAAATCATTATGCAGCATTCCAACGAGTTTTGGAGCACTTATTTTAGGATTCTGGATGACTGTTTCCAAAAAAACTTGTTGATGTAATACTTGAATTTTATTTGGATGTCCTGCATGTGGCTTATAAGCAATTTTTTGTATGGTTTGGTATTTCTTGATAATGGACTGCACAGTTGCACGTGGTTTCTTTACTATTTCCCCTATATTTCACTGTGATTTTCTTTCTTTTCATAGCCTATCACTAGCCAATCTAATTCCTTCTCTATTTTTTCTATACTCTAATTTTTAATAATATATAATTTAATAACTCTTTAATTTAATAATATTTATAATATAATTTAATAATATTTAATAACTCTAATTTTTAATAATTATTCTAACAAAAATAAAAAATTCATATGAACAAAAAATAATACAAAAATCTTACTAAATCTATTTAATATTTAACAAAAATGTAACTTTAATACTGATTTAATAACAAATTGAGGTTGGAATGCAGAGTGGATGAAACCTTTTTTGACGCAAAAACAGGAATTGTTTATTTTTAAATGCTGTATTTAATTTTCTATTTGTTATTTTGTAAAATCTTTTTTTTACAATACTTCTTGAATGTTTAACTGATATAATTTAGTTAAAATTATGCTTATATCTTTGCTGAATAAAAAGTTATTGTGTCTGAAAAATGTACAAGATAGTGACCAAAATGACATGCAACTTTTTTGAACAGTTGTAAAACAAACTTTAATATTTCGGTCACAACACTTTCAGATTGAAAAAAAAAACGACGAGCTGTATTTTCACCATTGGTCATGTCCCAGAACCACCAGATCTGGGCAATTGATTATTAATCCAAGATGATTTTTAAAGGCTTCTTGGATTCTTTTTTTTGTTTGTTGTTACAAATAACTTTTCTTTTGAGCTACTATTATTATTATATATATATATATATATATATATATATATATATATATATATATATATATATATATATATATATATATATATATATATATATATATATATATATATATATATATATATATATATATATATATATATATATATATATATATATATATATATATATATATATATATATATATATATATATATATATATATATATATATATATATATATATATATATATATATATATATATATATATATATATATATATATATATATATATATATATATATATATATATATATAGAACATTGCATATGATATTTAGACTGATTAGATCATATCAAAATTTTGACCTTTTTTCCATAGCTGGCCCACTGTACCCTGGGGTAAATATGGGAAGCAAAAACACCTTTAACTTTTATGTTATACACATAATATGTTATTACAATTACAAAAATATCAACAAAAAAAACATAATAATGAAGCAATAATTTACATACTTTTTCACCTACCAATATATAAATCTAAAAATAAATAATTTACATACCTTCTAAGCTACCAATAAATAAACCTGGTAAAACCTAAAAAGTAATAGCATTAAAGCTGAAATAATAAAAAAATTAAAATTTTTTGAAAAATATTTATAACATATTTAAACTTCAACTTTTAAGTTATACACGTAATACACATAAATAATAAAATAACATACACATAAATAACTCTAAATGATTATTATATATTTTTTTAAAACATTATACTGAAAATTCAAACATTTTACTTATTTCGAATTTTTAAATTAAAATCAAAATTTTTCAATATTTAAAAACATTGTGCTATAAAAATGTTTTATAAAACAACAAACCTTGTTCATTCCATTACCCATTATTAAATATAAACTTGATCAAAGCTATTGATTTTGTAACTTTATTGATTTTTTTTTTTTCTAAAATAGGACAAAAGTTATGTAAATATGCTTTACTTAATCTGCTAGATACCTAATTATTATAAAATTATTATAAAATATTCTCATATAATAATATAACTTATCAAAATGTGACTCTTTTAGTCTATATTTTAAGGTTATGCTATAAATCAAGTAACTTTATTTTTTTCTAACTTCTTGTTAATTTTTTTTTTCAAACTTTGGTGTATAAATTTGCTGAATGGCCAAACACAAGCAGTGAATGTCTAAGGGTAAAATGAATTACATAAAAATAGAGAATTATTATTCTAACATATTTAAACAGTTGTCAAGAAATAAACATTAAAAGATAGCATTTAAAAAAATATATTAATGACAATAATATACAATGACAAAAACCTTTTTGTTAATTTACTTAAATGGGTAAAAATGCAGATTAAATTTTATTTGTAGAATATTAAATTTAATGTTTAAAAAAGGTGCTATATTTTCTTGAATTTTAAAATATATAACAATGTCAGGCATTTTTAGTTAAATGCGTTGATTGATAAGTGATAGAGACAACTTCAATGATGTGTTATAGTTTTAACACTGTAACTTTTTTCAAGAGCAATAAATCTAGCTGGTGATAAAATATGGAGAATGTCACACAGAAGAAAAAGCAAAAACATACTCTGATCTCATTTTTAATGTAGCAGGATGCAACTACAGCAGTGAAATAACTTTAAATTTTTTATTTTCAGAGTAATTCTTTAAGACAACACTTACCTATACCTAACTTATTCCATGTTTTTTTAAAGTTATTTAAACTACCCCTGCACTTTAAAAAATAACTTGCAAAGAAACAAAATGTTTTCGTGCATCTGTTTTAATAAATAAAAAATATTTATCGATTAATATCTAGATTTTTTGTTACTTTCATAAAACAGTCATCTTCATTTCAACTAAATACAAAAAATTATCATACCTCAATTCAATTACTTCTATTCAAAGTTAAAAATTTCATTAGAAACAAAAAATTTTCATTGTCTTTAGGAGCGTTTCATAATTATAAGCTTCGTCCTTATGGCTATATCATAACTCTCACTTATTTAAACAATCAAATACTAAAATGCAATATTTTAATTTCAGTTATAGATTAAATTACATTTATTACTTAAATGCAGTTTAATAATTATTTGGTGTCATCATAATTCTTTAAAATTGTATTTAGAGTTGTAATATAAGATATATAATACGATATGATATATATATATATATATATATATATATATATATATATATATATATATATATATATATATATATATATATATATATATATATATATATACACATCAGGTAAAAATATAGTTTCATTTAATAGAAAAATAATTCTGCACAAGAAAAAATTTGTTAGAAAAATTTTGGTTTGTGGTTATCCAGCAAAAGTTTGTTCTCATGGTGACACTTGGATATAAAGTTATATTTTATATCCAAGCGTCACCATGACACTTGGATATAAAAAAAATTTTAAGATATATTTTAAGATATATAAAATCAAATTTTAATATTTTCGTTATGTTGTTTGTAGGCAGGGCGTTTTTTATGGTGGACCTTGTTGAATTGGGTGTTGTTTTAACTATTTGTAGAATATACTAACTTAAAATGCTTTTATATAATTTTTAATGTGTTATATAAAAATGTATAACATATAATGGTAAATAAAACACTAGATTCTAATAATCAAATAAATTAAAAAATTAATCAATGTCCAATTATAATGATAGAGTGATGATTAATTAATAATGATAGAGTGATGATTAATTAATAGGCAGATATACAGATGTGTATGTAAAAAATAAAAAGGAATAAAAAATTTAACAACTTTTATAATGATAGTGAAATCAGTAAAAGTTTTTACTGATAACTTTACTATGATTGTAAATACAGAAAAATAAATTTATAACTTTTAGATTAAAATTTTATTATAACACCATAAATATATTTATAAAATTTAATAAATATATTTACTAACTCTGATAATTTTTCAACAACACAGGAGAATAAAAAACAAAATACAAAAACAATGCAAAGTTGCAATTTAAATATAAACTTTATAAAATATAATTAGTAATACAAGATATAAAAATTCACAACACAAAATTTAATTTAAGAAAAGACTTCTTTGTCATATTTATGTCATATATACTATATTTATGTCACATATATATGAGAAAAAACATAATGCAAATAAATAAAATAAGAAAATATAAGATATAGGAAATTTTCTAACTAAAGTTAACAAAATAAAAAATAAAACAATAGTGATTTTTTAAAATAAAAATAATTAGAAATGATTAAAACTCATATGAACTTCAAAGTTTAATGTTTATTTACGAAAATTACGACGAAGCAAACAAAAAATTTAATAATAAATTATAATTCTATAAATATGGCTGCTTTTCCATGCTATGCATCTGAATTGTTATTCTTTTAATATCAACATACTTTGGTTGTTATTTGATAATAAAAATATATCTACACCATTAAATAAATCAGCAGTGGATTGTAAATAATCAGAAAACATCTTCGTTATGACTCATTGATTGGATGAATGCGCTTTTCTGTTGCTTGTAGCAGAAGATTTCGTCGCTCCTCTTTTTCTTTCAACAATTCAGAAGATGACGCGCTTTCATTTGAATTGGATTTTACCAAGCATCTCCTAAATAAAATATAGTGATTGTACTGATTTTTTTACAACTTTTTTTTTTTATAATTTTTTTATAACTTTTAATAAAAAAAGTTTTTTAGAAATACTTTTTTGGGCAAAAGTGCTTAGACACAAATATATTCTTTAAAAAATAAAGTTGAACAAAATTACACTTTAATAAAAAGTTACAAACTACAGGAACTCTGATTAGCAAGTTACCCTTAGAGTTGAAATATTCAAGATATTTGTCAAACAGAGAGAAATAAGTAACAAGTTTAAATATAATTTTAAAAAAATGTAAATATTTAAAAGAATATCCTTATATTTATAAATTACTTGTCAAAAATAATTATTACAGCTAGAAATTTATTTTATAGCAATTTCTATACTTAAATACTTTAAATATGAATATATCTATAATAATTTCTACCTTGCAATACTTAATATATGCATAAATATATCAATATTAAGTGTTTAAAACTTCTCAAAACATATTAAAACAGTTTTCAGATGTCTCAAACATGTCTTGTGACCGCAGGGTCATACCCTGCACTACTTAACATATGCATAAATATATCTAAAAACCTTGCTGATCTTATGGAACTTGAAGACCTCATCGGAAGCCTTCTTCTTAACTGATTACTATACTCTTCTTCGTCAATAAGTTGATTATCTCCATCGCTTGTTAAATTTTCTCCTTCTAACAATGTATCTTTTTTATCTGCGACTAATGGTAGGTCATTACTTTGGGCATCTGTTTCTAAAAAATTTAAAAATCACAGAAACTATAGAGCTTTCTTTTTTATTTTTTTTTTATTTTACTTTCATTATATATTATACAAAAATTTCAGAAATGAATTCATACAGCAAGATAAATTTAATAATTTTATATTTACATTTCTACAAAAACATTATTTTTAAAAAATTAAATACGCTTAACTTAACTTTTTTTTTTCTTTTTTTGTGGTTACAATTCTCTCACAACCCTATAACTCTGAAACACAAACCCTGACAAACAAAAATGCTGCATTGGGAAACAAGTTAAACGCTTTTTTAACAGTGGCCTGGTAATCTAAATCAGTTACAGAGCAAGCGCTCTATCACTACACTACTGCCACATAACTTGAACAAATTTTACATAGGCAGTAATCTTGCTTGTCAATGTTTGGAATTTAGGCTTGAGAGAAAATTATTTTTAGTTTTCGTATAAGCATAATAAGAATTTTTTAGTTATGTTATAGGCGAAAAGAGGGAGCCTTTTTATAATGGACCTTGTTAAATTGGGTGTTGTTTTTAATTTATCGTTTGTACTCTTTCTTTACAAAGTTACCTTCCTGGGTAGGTAAAATTGTAAATTAAAAAAAAAAATTATTTTATACAATAAAACAACATTTTTTACACAAAAAAGTTTTTATTGTTTTATCAACAAAAACTTTTTTGAAAATCATTTAGAAACATATTTCTGAAGAATTTTAATTTATCATATATATAAATATATATATATATATATATATAGTATATATATATATATATATATATATATATATATATATATATATATATTTATATATATATATATATATATATATATATATATATATATATATATATATACATATATATATATATATATATATATATATATATATATATATATATATATATATATATATACATATATATATATATATATATATATATATATATATATATATATATATATATATATATATATATATATATACTATATATATAATATGAGTAGAGTATTCAAAGAATACTAACCGAATGTCCTGAGTATTCTGTTGAAATATTTTTAAAAATTGTATTTTTTAAATTTTGTTGCGTTTTGGTTAAAATTTCTAGCATAAATTATTTTAAGAATATCCTATCAAGCGAACTACTATTTTAATTCTTGGAGCCACATCTATAAAGCTATTAATGTTTTAAACTAACATTATTTGGTTACAATAATAAATGTTTTAAACTATTTTTTAACTTGTCAAAGTTTTGTAAATATATTATAGATTTTATTAGTATATTCTTATTTTTTATATAAGGGATGTATTTTTTATGTATGTAATGTATTTTTATGTAATGTATTTTTATTTATGTAATTTTATGCATGTGTATTTTATTCAAATGTAATCTTTTAAAGCAATTTGTGCGATTGATTTTGTAAACAAAAAATCCATTTTCCTCAGTGTATCC